ACACTGTATTCGCAAGGGAATATCCCAAGCTATACCAAATATCTATTAAACGTCATGTTTGTGTCACGTGACTTCGCTGTCTCGGTAACTAGCAATGAGTGCTAAGCCGGGGGAGAATTAATTGCACATAAAAGACGGTGTTGTCTTTAATTGCTGTCCACTTAGCATAAATATCGAAGCCTAAGTAAATTCTAGAATTATCCCCTATCCACGTCTTTTTCTGCGTTCTTTTTTTTATCTCAGAAACTGTTGTACGTTTAAGTCTCTCACTACCAGGTTTATCAACACATACATCAAACGCTCCGTAACCCAAAGTAATCAGACAATACACATGCAAACTTTGACGTCACTCGAGCAGACAGCCCGTAATCGGTGACCTGTCAATTAGTGACACCTTCTCAATTTTGTCCTATGCACTCGCCGTGGGTGTTTTTCATGGAATCCAGCATTTTTCTTATATGATTGGGTGTCTCCACCTTCTATATATACCAACATTGTCATACTTTTATTGAAAATAACCACCCGATAAATACTTTTGTGGCAACGTATCTTTAAGACTTTGGACTTGATAATACCTGCGCAATGAAGCCTGTTTCCGGGCTATTCACTAAGTAATCTACTACTTTAGTATTGGGCATATTCACTCTAGCTCGGAGATTCAATAATTTATAAACAAGTTTGTGTAAATAAAAAAACTATTCAACATTAAAATATTTCTTTTTATAGCAGTCTCTACACTTCAATAAATGAAAATAGTGAATCACACCATTAACATAAAGCCCCACTCAATTGATAAAAAAACCACAGCCAGAAATATGACAATCTATTCATAAAGCTTACCACTGACTATCATGTGAAGTTCGTGTATTTGAACAACATGTTTACGATTTTGATACTTTATGCATTTCTTTGTACACATGTGCAATAGATCACAATATCCACAACCTATTTTTAAACATTTCCCTGTGCCCAACTTAAAAATATCTTTCAAAGGCATTTAGTGAAAGTATCATGTAATACAAGCAGTTTATTAATGGCAACGTTTCTACCCATTTACGTATGACGTGCCCAAAGCAGCCCCCATTTCACGAGTCTAAATAAAAACACACAGAAAACACCTTGGGATTCTCTAATGGAAACTGATTTCAAAGGAGAGAGAGGTACAGCAACATTGAATATTTTATCACCAAATTCCTATAGGAACAGCAAGTATGTTTTTGTTATGGGATCTTTGGGTACGTTTGGGTTTATAGTTAACCAAACGCTAAGGGAACGAGATTATTGTTACATCGATAGACTCAACGTGACATCAGCAAGGGTTCGATTTCGCAAACTAAAATAGCCAAAGACCCATATTTCAGTAGAGGCCATATTGAATCTAAAAAGGCGGTCAGATCTCATATATCCTGGTCTTATTCGATAGATACCAAAAACTACCTAATTGCCAATTTTCATGATTTTGTCAAGAATTGAACGTTTTTTTCACCCAGTGATTACGTTTCTAGTGTAAGGAAAGATTTGTAATATAAGAATCTTCAATGAAGAAAATGGAATTAAACAGTTAGAAGGTTTAATGGATCCATGTGATTTAAAGCGTCGACACATGGATCCAAAATTTTCAGAGTCTACAACAGAATACAATACAGAACAGCTGTATTCATCCGCAAAAAAAAATAGTACCTAAAATTCATGTACATTATATAGGTTTAAACGTCAAATGAGGTCAAATGAATAGAGACGTCTTTAATATATACTAAATATTCGTATCATCCCAAATCGACAATAAAACAGTGAGAAAAAGGAAAATCTAAGTAATGGCAATCTAATTAACATAAAATTTACGACATAATCGATTCTTCAATGTTTTGATGGTGATCATGAAGAAAATACATCTGTTCTCAGGAATCCGATAAGATTTTCAAAAAAAAGATTGTTATTCCACAAAGTCGAAAGGTATGTTAGATTTTTCATTCAGTCAAGTTAGAGCGAATTTATTGCCGTCCTTTGAGCTCCAAACCCGATAGAAATGAAGGCGGAAGTGGCCTTAATAGTTTTAGAGATCACTACGTGATGGCGCTCCTGCGTCACGACAAACGGGGCCGATTTGTCAAGGCGACCCAACTAGTTGACTGACTCCAAATATCGATGATGAAATTGTATACCAAAGATTTTATATCAATATTTCAGCCATGATTCTTGAAATATTGCGTTTTGGAAAACATAAAAGATTTATATGCTTACTTTCTAGAATTTGTAATGAAAGATTAAAATGAAATTTAATATAAAATATGAAATGAGTTTTCATTTATTTTTGGCTCTAAAAATACCTATAACATGTTCGGGAACGATATTATAGAGATAAATATTGATTTTTGACAATGAATGGATGTTACTATAATGCTTTGGACTTCTTGTGTCGAATAGTAAATTTACTGTTTGTCCTTCTGCTGTTAATTTAAAAGCAATTGTTTTGTGGTGTTTTGAAAAGTGTGGACACAGATTTTTAGGCGGCGTAAGCGAATTTCCTGAATGCGTTAGTGGAGTTCGATGAGGAGCATTTTCTGCTTAGATAAGCAGAGATAAGCAATTTGATTGATTGATTGATGCTGAGGGGCACGATAACTTTGATTCTATAAAAGTGAGATTGATGCAATTGGGTGTTTAGTTTCATTACACCAATACCTTGACTAAGTTCGATAAGCAGAACGATAACCAATTTGATTAGTTGATTAGCTCGATAACTGATTGGTTAATGTTTTGGAACACAATAACTTAATTTGGCGAGAGTGACAAAACTCGGCGTATAGATTCCTTATATCAATACCTTGACTAAGTTTGATGATGAGATTTTTTTTTCTTAGGCTAAGTAGCAATACGAAATTTGATTGGTCAAGACTTTGGAACACAACAACTCTGCTTTTAATTGAGGTAGAATGTTTAAACTTGATGTAGATGTTCATTAGGCGGATGTCTTGAACGAGTTCAATGATTAACATTTTCCTCTAAAGCTAAGCAGAGCTAAGTAATTGCATACGTCGATGCTTTGGGAAAAGATAACTTTGATCCTAACTTATGGAAAGTGAAGAAACTTAGTGTAGAGTTTCACTGCCAGGTACATCAAAACCTTGACTAACTTCGACCGTGAACATGTTCTGCTTAGATAATCAGTTTGATTGCTCGATACTTTTCAAAATTAATTAATGAATCAGCCTCGCTGTTGGCTTGGTCTGTCTGTGACTAAAGCCGAAGATGGTTGGAATGTCATCTAGTTCTAAATGGGTTTTGTTTCTGTAGCCCCAACAATTCACCATGCCAATCCCACACATAGCATTACTGTCGTTATCGAAATGGTTGGAAAACACAGTCTTGTCGCTGAACTTGAATTTGTCGATTTTATGACTGGTACCAATGTTCCAAAACCTGAAAATTTCTCTGCCCCTTTCCATTGGTCTACTGGGTGGGATTGGGGAACTCTAAAATAGGTCACTTTCAAATTTTGCCGATCTTATTTAAACACCCCAAACCTGCACACCCAGGCATGTCACCTGTAAAGCTTGTGCATTCTGACGTCAACAGTTTAATCTTAGTTGTGATTGGCTGAGGATCATCGATAGCGGGGAAAAGGGCGCTGTCCATTGTAGTGATACTTATTAAGTAAAATAGCCTTTTTGGCCTTGAAAATTTAATATTTTCAAAACAGAAGCCTTTTTAAATAGAATATTTTTTATGATTAAGCAAAACAACATGCTTGGTATGTGTGAAATAGCTTTATTTAACGACTGCTTCCAGCGAAGTGATTTCGCCGACAAAACCTTCTTAGGTGAACTTTTCCTTTAAATACGGACTTCAATATGTCACTGTCATTTCATTGTGATGAGCAACCCAGAAACTCAAAATAATTTTTTTTTATGTCAAGCAGGATACACCTCAAATGCAAAGTTTACAGGTGTAGATATTAAAGGTAGAATATGTTTATCTATGATATTGATGTTTATCTGTGATATTGACAGTTGAATATCTTTATTTATGATATTGAGAGTGAAATGTATTTATCTCTCATATTGAGAGTGGAATATGTTTATCTATTATATTGAGAGGTAAATATCCCTTATAACAATAATTTTTGGATTTCACCGTATGTGATGTTAATTTGCCAAGAAACTGAATTACTGTTTTTTGATAATAATTAAATGTTCACGGTCATTGGTTTATTTCCAATGGATTTTTATGCATTCGGGGTCGCACCAATAGTGGTAATATAGCTTAAAGTCAGCTAGCAATCTATCAGAAATAAAGTTTCAAGTCCATCAGTCAGCTAACAATCTTTCATAGATATAGTTTAACGTCCATCAATCATCTAGCAATATAACCAAAATACCAATCTGATTAAAATACAGATCTATATTTCGTTTCGTTTTTTATACTTTCAATGGCCTACATTACATGAAGATCTGACAAGTTATAGCGATAGGTCACCGACTTATGACCCTATGACGCCAGAACTTTGATTAATCAATCAGCATTGATGTTACTATTGGATTACCCACAGTTCCGTGAAAAACACGCCTAACGCTCGCTGTAACAGACCGTTTCGTTTCATTGGCTTATCCCTGACACCAATCAGAACACGAGTTAAATAACAACTCTTCCAGATCCAAGTGTTGTAAAGACAAGTAAAACGAAATTTTGAACTATAAAAACGAAACGAAATAGGATCTGTGTTTTAATCAGATTGCCAAAAAACAAAAAACAAATAATCAAATCTGAAAAAAAAATAGTTTGGCTGATGGATTTATTAGAGACGTCGGTATTTTATTAATTGAATAAACAATTAAGTGTATTTGCTGTATACAATACCTGCATATCATTCTATGCCATATGCTTATCTGTGACCTATGTAAGGGTACCCAACCATAAATAAATATCTCCAATATATCTCGACAATTACACCACAATATTTATATATACTCTTCAAAAAAAAAGTATTGAAATGCAAATACCTATGCAGGTTGTGATATGATAAAGAGTCATGGATATTTGACATGCTTTTAAAGTATGTTCACGGATGAAGAACTTGTCGCCCCAACAGAACCATACGCGTGGGAGGGGTTCATTGTCAAATTTGACACTTCAAGGAAGGGTTGATGAAAAGTGCCGCGTGCTGGTTTATCTATCCATGTTGGCTTTAGATTTACTGTTTAGCGTATCTTTGCTTTAATGTGTTACGTTTAATTTGATCGGGAGACGTGTTCGTCAACGTCAACCGACAACACTGCAAGAATCGGCCGTGGTACTGCAAGAGGAGTGGGTCAGATTGCCCCAAATCGTGATTGGACGGTTGATTAGAAGCATGCCACAACGAATTGCTGAATGTCTGAGGATTGGTGGAGCAATTACTCTTTGCGAGTGAAATGGGGCCGTCAGATAAGCCGCCTATATGAACTATTTATGTTCCTGTGTAGGCAATTGGCCTGTTATTAACATACACTGGTTACCTCTAATTAAAACAGCAGTGCATTTCCGCAGTTTTGTATTGTTTTTGAATATCCCCTACTTTTTTTTTGAAGAGTATATATACCAAGAATTAAATCAGTTACGCATATTTATAGTCACTAAATAATCGGTCATATTGTACTTAATAACCTATGACCACCATCTATAAATATTAGACTGAAAATGGTTACGAGTGTCGGGCCATAACATCCGGGCACTTTTGAATAAAAAATAAATTACGTGCCGTTGTTTTGAAATTAGTCTCGCTTTAACTACTTGTAGTCTGATTGACGGGCCACGATAATCACTACTTTTTTTACCAAACATAACAGAAAGCTGGAACAAGAAATTGAATTTAGAAACACGCGCGTTAGGCAACTCAACATTTGTTTTAAGAACCTTGTAAAAGTAAAATGAAACTACTGCTAGTTTCATGTTCTTGCCTAACCCGAGTGTTTCAGAGATATTATTTGTACTAAACCAAAAGATGCCGCTCCTAGCGGTATAGTTAATGATAAAGCAATTTAAAAAATTATTTCTAAAGCTGCTGTAATAACCAAAACGCTAAATATTACTGCTATTCAGAATCGTCAACAATAGATTTGTTTACGACTGTAATAGTTGATAGCTGTGTAGAGAATTTCACGTGCGAAGGCTTCATAGACTCTTATGCTGAGTGTTATTGCACTGCGTTATTAGCCAGAAATCACTTCGAGACAAGCCACTGAAGCGTGCACATTCGCCGTGTCGAGTTCATCTTTTCTGTAGGGGACATTTTTCGCTGCATGGGACACCCTACCTATGTATGTTTCATACTGGTGTTTAAAGCATTCTACATTGAATGATGAATGAAGCCATGGAGCGTGACTGTCTTTTTACACCCAAGTTAGCAATCTATATCTATTTTGGGATGTATGATTCGCCCCGTTAATAATAAAAGTATCGAACATGACGACGTATATACTAATGTTTGCCATGCACCATGATGGTCATTGTTCTGCAGTAAAATGCGCGTATGCTATCTGGATCGGATGTAGGAGTTTGGAGACCGTATTATGGTTTTAAGTATACGACAAGGTATGTACGACTCATTAATATGTGTTTGTGAAAATGTGGTTTTGTATATAGATACAAGCCTTAAATTCTATGACACCCGTAAACGTTCTCACTGGGATGAAATTGCATTTTTTTTTTAAAAAAAACAAAATAAACACACCCATCGTAAAATATAAAAAAAAAATAATTTGACTTGAAGATATCTCAGATTGCTTTTGTGTATCCCTTGCCAACTACAATATTGTGGAAGCTGAAGCTCTTAATATGATTCAACTCTGTTCATTATTTATAAAGATATGATGACTTGAAAATTTTCAACATTCATCATCCGCTGCTGCCACCATACGCCAGCATACAGTCAGCACACACCAACGCCACCTATGATTTCGCTGACATCTTTTGATGCGCATCTTTTAAATCAAGTTTTATCCAATCCGAGATAGTATCTTCTGTTAATCTTTTGAATTTGTTTTTTAAATTAAACTAATATTTCTAACTGTCGTTTGTTTGTCTATCTGTTCAGGGTCGGCGGCTACACTAGGGCTGTACCGAGGCTGACATTTGGTGTATGGCGGCATCTAGGACCGAGGAGTAACATCGGCCTGGTGGGTGCTATAACATTGACGGACAATGTATATGTATTGTTTTTATGGTCGACAATTTTTTACAAGAGGTACGAAACTTTTCACAGGGGGGGGGGGGCGACCCCGTAGTTACGGGCCTGCATCAAAGCTAACTTTAACTGTGGGCCCGATCAGGGCCCCCACAAGTCCCAGGACAAAAGTTTCAGTGGCGCCCACCCCTTGCTTACTGTAACTGCTTTGTTCAGTGTATGTGCTCAGTTGATTTTCTATGATTAAAGTAATTTTAAAATATTTATACTTTTAACACTTTATCTAAATAACTATTTATTAAATTAACTTATATGTAAAATATTTATGTTTATTTCCCCTACAACCCTACATAAATATGTGAGAGCCCTGGACCCGATTGTCAAAATTACGCATCTGTAACACCTTTGTGGTGGCTAAAAGATTTTTTGATTTTCGTACCATCTGAACGACTATATACTGTCCCTAGCCAGGCCCTCCATCCTGCACCATTGACAAGGGGGAACCACGCCGGAAAACTCGATCAACTTAGAGGTTATCACGTCTAGCCTACTCAAAACAAACTAGATCACATGGGGACTAATACACCTTACGAGCTGCAGGATGAAAACTAGGTCATTTCGGGACTAACATATGATTCATTTTTATTTCAATAAGTCGCTTGCGCGTAGGGGTCTTTAGTAGTGGGGCAGGGGGACCGGAGGAACAGGAGAAAATCCACGATGTTGGCTCAGTTTCCCTACTCATTGTCACGTTCAAGCGGGGAATCGAAACCACTGACCATTGACAGACCTTATAATCTAAAGCGCAAGTCTTAGACCATTTGGCCACCGAACCCTTTTTGTTACGTCCAGCAATGACATTTGGGTCCATCAAAGTCGTTGTGATGTAAAGCGACTTCTTTAAATAAAGGTTAATTACCGTGAAATACCCACTGACCTCCAAATGACACGTATCAAAATTAGAGACAATAATTATTATCCTAATCTGGTAAACTACTAGTCATGATAGGACATATCTATTGAAGCGTATCAGAGGTCGATGATAACTTTTTATTCCCGATTGTCTCGGTCTATTTCCAACGAAAAGTAGGAGAACATCAACGAATGTGTAACAGGGTACAGGAAAAGGGAATAATCGTTTTAAAATGTACGTTCTATTGGAGGTTAGTAATATTTCGTATTGAATGAGAGGGGGGCGGGGGGCTGTGTCGATACCGGAACACTCAGTATATGCTATACCCCAGCATTGCTGTATCTATGGACGTAAACTTGGGAACAGATTAAGATTCCCACAAAAATCAACACACAAAGTACACTGGAATCGACAATTTTATTTTTCACCCCAATCAAAGACGGAGAGCTATATTAATTCAAATTTGTTTAACGTTAAAGCGAGAATTTCATATTTTCTAAGAAAGTTAAAACATAATTATTTCTATGTCTTTTGCTCAATAGGTTGTCAAGTCACTATTATACGATCATAGGTATCATTCTCACACTTAAAAACCATTCACCCCGGAAATAATAACACAATTACCTCCCTTGTTTTTCTATTCTCCCCCCATGGAATAGCTATCTTCAAACGTTTGAATTTGAAGTTGAAAATGATATTTTTGCCAATTTCTCAACTGGCAATAGTGAATTATAGGATTAATAGGATTATTCTTTAACAAGGTAGGACTGTTTATAGATACCATCTCTTTTAAGGCTTTATTTTAATACATTTTAAAAATATAACTTAAAAATATGAAATTATCGCTTTAAGTGCTAGACAGGTTGCTTATAGATGTCTCTTCAACTATTCATTATATCGCAGAAATCGTTTTAAAAGGTTCCGGGCCCTGTTTCTCGAAATCTTAACCAAAGATAAAATCCAATTTTAGTAGATACTTCAATTTTGATTGGCTAAGCACTATAATCAATCTAATATTATCCGATCAAAGTACTAAAATTTGGATTTTATCTTAGTTAAACTTTCGTGAAACAGGCCCCATGTCCGTTACCTGTGGGGGAATTTTTGCCAGGACCGCGATGTTTCCGCATTTCAATTATCAAAGGTTCTTTTACGTACACGCGATCGAGACTCCATAATGTAAGCAAGCACTTGATTTGATTGAACTACTCCGAGAAACAGACCAGCATTCTGTTACACTGTGATGATACAAAAGTCATACAAATATTTGTATTAATTATTAGACTGACTTTAATAACCATTTCCTGTTTGCTTGTTGATTTTTTGGCTTTTAGACTCTGGTTTTCAATAAATTATATCGAAGAGAAGACGTAGATGAATAACTTGCCAAGTTTATTAGAAAATATTTGATAATCTTACAATCGGTGGTCTGTAGTGGTCACTTGGTGGTTTATTTGAATTGTCTGCCCCTTATTAGAACATGGGGTGGGGGGGGGCTCAATTAATGACCGAATTGGCCTTTAATAAGTCGGTCGACGCTTTAAACAACCCTTGATTTCTTTTAGAAGCTCGACTGTATGCTTGAGTTGTTTAAAGGTATGATAACAATATGCATGTTTTCAATAGAACGTACAAGTATCTATATATATATACACTTTAATTATAGATACGCCTTTCTAATCACAAATTTACAGCGTTAAGGTGAATTTTAACAAAATGATAAATTGTACGCTCTCGCGACACTATATTATAATTATGACATGTTTATGACAGTACTCGGTTTTATTTTAAATTAAACAAAACCTCTTATAACTAGATTTACATAACATCTACGTTGGTGTCACGTCATGTTAAAAGGTGAGAGAGAGAGAGAGAGAAATGGGGTAAGTCCACTCGACACGAACTAGGTCATTTTGGGACTAACATATGGTTTAATTTTATTTACATAATTCGCTTGCGCGTAGGGGTCTTTAGCAGTAGGAGGAAACCGGGGGACCCGGAGAAAACCCACGGGGTTGGACAGGCGACCCTACTCCTTGTCACGTACAACCGGGGATTCGAAACCACGCCAGTCGACTCAATGACAGACTTTATGATACAGCGCGCGCACGCCAACCATTCAGCCATCCAACCCCCCATGTTAAAAGGTGGGATAGCCATCAAGACAATATGGTTCACATGCAGAATCAAACGATAACTATAATATAGGGATGTACAATGTGTATAAATATGAAAGTTATAATAGCCCTTTATCTGCGTTTGATGTTTATGGGTAAATGACCTCTAGTCTATTGACATTCATCGATTCATTTCTTTACTTCTACATGAATAAATTGGACTATGTGTATTTTTGTCAAATGCCCGGGAGACAAGTAAGAAATATACTTAAAAACTTTTTGTAATATTTTTACTTGATATTATTATAATCTATTGTTAAAATAATATTTTATTCTACGTATGTATATAACTGGATCTGGATGACTTGTATTATAACATCTGAAGACGCCTATGGCAGACAACAAGATTATGATTTGATTTATATAAGAATGAAGAATTAAAGGTTGTTGACGTTTCTTTTAAACTGGGTTTATTTATATTTTTTTATCTACCGTAAACACAGGCATGCTCTTATTTAACGGTGTTTGTCCGGACGCCACTGCAATACAGACCTACACTTCTGCGCCGACTGGGATAGTGTGCCATGTACTATGAGCTTCGTTTGTTCTGACAACCGCGCTATGACCTACACTTTATTTCGGATAACATTCGCCAACATGTGCACGGGATCTAAACTTTTCGTCCCACCCGAACGAACGACTAGACCTTCTTCCTTTCTTGTCATATAATGCTAATTAAAATATATTACACGGGCCTATATAAAATGTGGAATTAACACTCTAAATGGATGGATAATATTTATTGCATACATAGCGATGAAGTGTCTAGTCTAGTCTGCTTATTACAAGGGTCTGGTGATAATGAGTACGTGAGTAGCAATATGCGCCACTTGCACAGCGACTTTTGCGCCACTTTTTGCTATCCGTTTTGCTACTATTTTTGCGCCAGAAATCACAAACGGGTTTTATTCAGCGAAATTATGTGTAATTTTGCGTTATTCAGTACGAATATCATGACGTCATAATTGGCATATCAGATTAGTGCACAATATTGTTTTCACGGAAATTATGTGGTTTGCCCTATTCAGTATCAATATCATGACGTCATAAAAAAATTGGCATATCGCAAATTAGTGCACAATATTGTTTTCAGAATTATCGTGATTTTTTTCATATCATATCATTGCATTTTCGAATTGCTAATTTTTTTAATGAAACAATCATTCTGATTTTCCATATCTTTCGTTTTTCAATATGTTTTTATCAGAAAAGGGGCGTGCATGTCAAGAGCAAGTCCATGGTAAGGGTGTTTTTTTGTGGATTTGCTCATGTCTACCCCACCCCGTCTTCCAGTTAAAGATCCCTACTCTCAAGCGAAAAGTTGAACCATTTGTTAGACCCGAAATGAAATAGTTACACCATAATTTCTTTCTCAATCTCTATCTGGTGCCTGAAAGGATGGATATTGTAAACTTTATTTATGTATACAGATTCCCCACTAGTAATCTAATAAGGGTCCTCTATACACATAGCAAATAACGAGGGTAAAGTGGTGTCCATCAAATCTATTCAGTTGATTTAATAGGATTTCTTTTATTACATATTTATTTTCTGGAAATGCGGGTTTATTTCACCCCAAAATCGTTTTATTCCGAGCTGATTCATCTGGGCCATTTCACCCTAAAATTACACAAGTACATGTAGTTTCATAAAAGGGTTGTTTCACCACAAAAAAAAAGAAATAAAAAGCAATATGAAATTTAATTTTAATATGCTAAGATGCTAGTTTAATATCCCATAAAAAAATTCAAAAAAAGCGAGAGAGAGAGAGAGAAATGGGGTTTTAAGTCCACTCGACACGAACTAGGTCATTTTGGGACTAACATATGGTTTAATTTTATTTACATAATTCGCTTGCGCGTAGGGGTCTTTAGCAGTGGGAGGAAACCGGAGGACCCGGAGAAAACCCACGGGGTTGGACAGGCGACCCTACTCCTTGTCACGTACAACCGGGGATTCGAAACCACGCCAGTCGACTCAAGGACAGACTTTATGATACAGCGCGCGCACGCTAACCATTCAGCCATCCAACCACCCTCAAAAAAAGCATATATGAAATTTTAATAAGCTAAGATGCTAATTATCCCTTATTTTCTATTTTTCTAGATTGTGATCTGATTCGGTGAATATCTATTCCAGAGTAATGAAGTGAATTGAATATATCAACATGGAATATCAACTACCGATACCAATACATGTATTATGGCTTATCATATTAACCACTATAATATCAATGTTAGGGTTGTTGGCTCTTATCAGTGTTTTATATTTTCTATTAAACAAACGTACGTATTATTTAATCAATCTTCAGGGTATAATTTATATCCCTCTACTAACCTTTATAAGGGGAGTGCTATTTTTCTGAACGTCGGTTATTGGTAATTTATGATTGATATGGTGGGGAATACAACATTAATATTAGAAAAGGAAAAACACTCTTATAACAAGGAACGTGGCGGATTATGGACACAGCTCATCAAATATTCCCACGCCGTCACCCCAGGACGAAAGTTATTTTTGGTCTTTCTCTCCATTTCCCCTTTTCTCCCTTTTGCGTAGCGATTTTTGTTGGCGTACTGGTGTAGAATCGATGAAAAGGATTTGAAAATACATTTTCTGCCAGGTTTTGTTGAATATTCCCGTTTTTGGAGCGGAAGGATATGAGAGTTGAGGGGTTCTTTAGGTTGAAATGTAGGGTGGAAAATTGCATGCTTGGTAGAAAGGACTACCCAACGGAAATTTGGGAAAATATTATAGTCCATGTGACAGGTAGATATTCATTACCAATTTGATTTTCACTTAGCCTTAGGTCTGAAGTGTCCAAAATTGGGGGTGGGGGTATTTGAAATAGTGCGAGTCGGGGATGCCTTCATAACTCCTCAACAGTTCCACCTATGGATGTGTAATATAGTTCAAAATGTTCATAATATACTTTTGCAACTGCTGGTATATGATATATGTTGTTTAATTAATATTATCAGTTTTAAAATAAAAGCTTAATCCGAAAAAAATCAACATTTCGATTTTTTTCATGTCTATTCATAAGTTTACTAACAAATGGTGTTCAGACCCATATAAGCCAAATTATCTATTTCGTCAACTAAAGTGATTTAATAGATATCAGAAACATTGATCATAAAAAATAATCTCTAATATGGGTGTCTCAAATCCAAGATGGTGGAAATTCAACATATTGACGCTACCAAATTTCCTAAAATGACCAATTTGTCAGATAATAGTCATTTCATTGTTTGATATGACATGTACTATCCAACTGAAAGGGTGCTCAGTATTGCTGAACTTAGAATTATTCTAAACAAAAAGTTTGAAAAATCCAAGATGGCGGCAAGGGTTTCCCTAAAATGAATGATTTTTATACGCCCACATTAAAATGTGGCCGTATATTGTAGTCGCGTCCGTCCGTCGTCCACAATTGCTTGTGGACACTCTAGTGGCTCAAGTTAATATCCGATTGACTTTAAATTTATACACAGTGTTTAAGGTCATGAGACGAAGAATCCTATTGATTTTCAGCGATCACTTCAAAATATCTTGTGGACGCTCTAGAGACTAGATTGATTTTAGATTTATACACAGTATTTAAGGTCATGAGACGAAGAAACCTGTTGATTTTCAGCGATTTTCGATAATTACTGCCAGAGTTATGGCCCTTGGTTACTTTGAAAAATCTTGTGGACGCTCTAGAGGCTAAATTTAATATCCGATTGACTTGAAATTTATACACAGCGTTTAAGGTCATGAGACGAAGAAGTCTATTAATTTTCAACGATTTACGATAATTACTGTCAGTTATGACCCTTGATCACATTAAAAACACAACAGAGACTATATTTATACACAATGTTTGGGGCCACGAGACGAAGAAGCCTATTGATTTTCAACGATTTCCGATAATTACTGTCAGGGTTATGGCCCTTGATCACCTTGAAAAATGTTGTGGAGGCTCTAGATTTATACACAGTGTTTAAGGTCATGAGACGAAGAAATCTATTGATTTCAAGCGATTTCCAGAGTTATGGCCCATGATCACTTTGAAAAATTTTGTGGATGCTTTATAGACCAAAGTTATCATCTGATTGACTTTAGATTGATACAGAGAGTTTACGATTTTGACATAAACAAATATATTGATTTTCATTGAATTTTGATAACTTGAACAGCTAAATCAATGATATTCAATGTTTCGTATACTAAACGTTAGCATGGGGCAGAACTAAAAGCCAAACAAATTCTAATGATTCTCTGATAATTACTTAAAGAGTTGTTACACTTAATCAGACTTTTAGTGTATTATAGAAAAAAATACGCGCCAACTCTTGTTGACTGCTCGGATGACTTACCTTCTGTGGGCGTATGTTTCGTTGCCTGGCAACCTATCTTTTTATATAGCTTATAATATCTATTTTGTAGGGTTTTCAGAGTCACCGAACTTAAATAAAAACTCAAAAATGAATGCTGAAAATGATGTTAAATGATAATGCTAAAAATGACACATCCGACCCTCCACCACACCCTATAAACAATATAATGCGGCATATGTAATTGATTATACTGGATCTCACAGATCACACGTAAATTCCACCAAAATAGTGAGGCATTTTAATTTCGTCTCCTATGCCTTTGCACCATTTTTAGTCGAATTTAGAATTGTTTATGATATATCCAGTTGTTAGGTTCTCTTATTCGTTCAGAAATGGTAATGTGGTCCGTTATTACATTAAATTTGTATATTATTTTACAGGTATAAAATGTTTCCGTGTTATCGAATGAACAATTTATTGTTAATTCGTGTAGAAAGATATGGTGTTAAAACGTGTTGCCAATTTCCGTATTTCATGGTAGACCGTAACTTATCATAAAAATTAATTTGTACATTATTTTACAGTTATAAAAATGTTCCCGTTTTATCGAATGAACAATTTATTGTTAATTCGCGTAGAAAGATATGGTGTTAAACGTGTTACAAATTAACAACTGGTATATTAGTCGAGTATTTTACAGCTTCAAGAAAGTTTACGTTTAATCGAAAATTCCAGTAAACAATTTATTTTTAAGTTGAAGGGAGAGTCCTACAAGTGGTAGGCCATATTAAATGTTGTTTAAATGGGTATTTTCATAAACTTTGTATGCAGAAAGATTATTATACTGAAGGTCGTCTGGATAGAAAATAAGATTTTGTGTGAAAAAGTTGTCCTGGAAAAATGGGTTTACTAACATCAAATATCTGTTTCATCGAAAATTCAAATAAATAATTCATTTTTAGAGATCAATTTTAAATTCAATGGCTACGAAAACCCTATATATGATATATCACAAGCCTTATCTTGCGTGATACTCACCCATCTTAACTAGAAATTCATTTTTCGAGAAATTTTGGCAGCCATTTTGGAAATCGGACAGAACCCCAACCGAAAATGACGTCACAGAAGTGATATAATCTCAAAATTGTCTTCAGTGACAAATTTTGACTCAGAAACAACCCGTCCCCAAATATTGTTTCCATTGTGACACATTAGCTAAAACGTTCATTAAGTTGGTACCCTGCCTCGCCGACGTTCAACATTTTAAATTTGACAGTCTACTTAAGACTTTTGTTGAGTTTGCGACCACCGCAGCTGTACAGGGAGGACAAATGGCCGTATTTATGTATGCCAAATGAATAACTTAAGAAGACAACACACATAATTTGGCTAAAATTACTCTGAACATGATTTGGTAGTAAACTTATAAAATAAATCATAAAAACCTGAAAAAAGCCAAAATGTTGCTTTTTCCAGAATAATCTGTTGATTTGGAATATATATGATTTATTAAACAACAACTATCATATAGCAGCCGGTGTAGCATTGCCTTGTGATTGTGAACATTGTGAGATACATTACATATCCATAGGTCAATCTGTTCAGGAGTTATGAAGGTTTCCCTGATGCGCTCAATTTTAATGAAATAACGGTGGCCATTTTTAAAGATGGCCGCCAAAATGGAATTTAGCAAAGTGACCCGGAAATCCATCAATCAAATTTCAACACTTCAACCACCGGGCTAACTGAAAATCATGGTTGAATTTATTCATCAAATTGGTAATGATGCTCCAAAATCCGAGGTCTGTCACATGGGCTGTTAATTAAAATTAACGTCAATGGGTAAATTATTGGTGATCTGTGGCCTGTTATGCAAGACCTAAATCTGCCTATTGCGTTTTTTTTTCTGTTATATAAATTATTATTTAGATGTTATTCATATTTGTTCATTATCTATTTTTAAACTATTATAGCAAGAGCAGTCGGCTCTTTATCTAAACCTTTTAAAATGCCTTTTTAATATTTGTTGCTTGTTTCAGATATCTTAAAAGATAACAGATTGTTTGGTAGTAAAACTAGGGTCTGGCCTGTCTACACAGAAGGACATTTAGTATAAAAATAAAGCGTCACATATAGATATTATGAAACCAACGAAACCTGTAGCCCCGGTTTCCCAGGCGGCCATTAGGCAATTTAATGTTAACAAATATATGGACTTAAAAGTGTTCTTTAGACAGTAATCGAAATGATTTTATTAAAACGTAAAAAGATGGGTTAGGTGCCATATTGAGCTCAATGTATCTGGATGGAAAAGAAATACCGTTCAAGCATCAGCTAATGATTTTAGAGAAGGATAGGACGGCGGTGTGAAACCAACTGGAACAAGTCAGAAATTCCGTTGTGCTTGATCAACTTGAATGGTTTTAGGATTATGCATTTTAGTAAGACTGTATTATATTGTGTATGATCTGAGAGTCTGGAATATTGTACCTACCCCAGTACACTATGTCACAGTTATGTTCGTGTTAGTTATGTTATTCTAAGTTATATCATCCGTGTTGATCATTGATGTTGTGGTTCTCAGTTCGGCACTCGATTCACCGTTTTCGGTTGGCCATGACCCTTTTAGAATGCAAAATTCCAACCCGTGAAATGTGATAACGACTGGAACACAACACACTGATCAGAAAATTAAATTCGGGAGATTGCATTATTTAAATAATTGTTTTATTTTATTAAATTTATCTATATTTATATTGTATATAATAAATATGATTTTAATGATCACGTTTAGTATAATATACCCTTTAATGTATTTTGAGCATGGCTCGGTCCTTGGCCACTTTGAGGCCCGGTCGTCAAGTGGTAGCCAGGACAAAGGTGTACTGTTATTTTATCTGTTTTCCAGACCTTTGTTTTTGAGAATCTCTACATATTAATTACATGATACGTTCTTCAGAGGTATTCGTATAGATCGTCTTGTAAGTCGTGCAGCTGTGCCCAATGCAATACCGAAATGAAATGAAATGAGGTCGCGGGTTGGCTCCCTGTGTTGGTCGAGAGAGTTCATCGTAAATTTCCGACTTGGTTTCCCCCTTGTCTGTGATGCAGGACAGAGGACCTGGCAATGACAGCTGTCTAGTCCTTGGGATGGGTCGAAAACCCGAGATCCTGTGTACACATAGGCATCACGTTAAATATCCCTGGGCAGTTGGAATTCGATAAAAGAGTAGGCCGTAGCGCCTGTATGGCGTTTCCCCGTCTTCATTAACCCTGTCGGAGCAGAACGGTAGGACGTTAAACCCTATTTCATTCCATTTCATTTTAAAAATAATAGACTTTAGTCCTTCCAAACATTATACTAAGATCATTTGATAAAAGGTTATATATTAAATATTTGTGTGTTAAAAAATAATATAGTGAAAGTTATAGAACAACCTAACTTCCATACCCGTCAATCTCCATTCCCTTTTTTACTTTAGAGTGACAACCAATTTTTAGACGATTTGAAACGAATTCGTATGACGAAAACTACATTAAAAAATATCCGGGGGCCTTTTGTTATAGCTGTTGCGCTTAGCCTGTAAGCATAAATACGAGAATATAATATGTATTCATAACCCATGGTTTCAAGGATTAATTTTTGACCCGTGTTTATGTATTGTGGATACCCACGACTATGCAATACAACTGAAGATATGAAATCGGCGAGAGCAAGGCTTGGATACAGATCTGTAAACGGAGGTGCGCCAGCTATCGACACAGTTTAAATTCCCTAACAAATCAAGCAGAACATATTCTCACATAACGTGGTGCAGGAAGGAGGGCGCCTGACAAGAACAGCTGTCTAGTCGTTCGGATGGGACGAAAAACCGAGGTCCCGTGTATACATTGGCGTACACTTAAAACTTCCCCTGGCAGTTGGAATTCGATATAAGAGTAAGCCATAGTGCCGCTGGCTGCATGGCGTATGCCCGTCTTCATTAGTTCAGTCGGAGCAGAGCACTAGGACGTTAAACCCTATTTCATTTCATATATTTGTTCTAGTTCGTATAGTGAAATAGGCATTGATTTGCTGGTGATTTATCCAGAAATAAGTTATCATTTTTACACAAGCTTCATGACTATGGGTAATTCCAGTCCGAGTAGCGTCTGACCACCCCTCCACACCCCGCACTCTTCCCTAGCGAATCCATGGTTACTACTGGCCTAATACTCACACGTGTCTAGGTCACTCAAAATACATCTTTGTATTTTATTTTTGGATTTTACACTGTATCGAGTGACAACTCTGACTTCCCCAGCTGCTCTCAAAACTGTCCATGGTCCTTTCATACATACACTTATCGAAGGATGGTGTAAAGTTAGGTATGAATGAAATTGACTTTTACGCCTTTGGTAATTGCAATCTGAACACGGTTATCACCTAAGGCAAGTGACGGTCACAGGTTGTACTAGCTATATCGAATACAGGACGTTAAACTCATTTCATGATGGGAGGCGAGTGCAGTATGGAACTTCTCTAAGAACGGTAAGAGTTTAAGATATCGCTGTGGTCTGGTAAAACAAAGAATCATCTGTGAGATTTCATATAAATTAGAAAACAGGGTGGTTACTTCAATTTGAAGATTTGTCGGCGTGGATTCCTGTGATACCTTAGTAGTCTAAGGGAAAGCGAATCTGGACGGCTGAGTTAACATGATAAAAGGATTACCTTATTTCGGGAAATGCCCCCCAAAAGACATAAGATGCTTCATATATTAAATATATTTACACAGCGAGCTGCCAGTCCTCCCTATAATACTTAATAATAGATAATGAAAAAGGAATATAATGAAAATTCCATCCGAATAACTTTCATAGCGAAGGTGTGGCTGTTGGATGATGTAGATTTTTTATTATCTGAGCGAAGGTATGGCTGTTGGATGATGTAGCGTAGATTGTTTATTGTCATAGAAACGGTACTTGAAAATCAAGGCTTAGTCTCGGTTATCCATTTTATTGTTACATTTTTAGATCTCGCGGGTATTTTAATCCATTTAAATCTGAACAATCCGATGTTCTAGCGAGTTGATTATAGGTTTGTCATGTGAATATATGTCTAAACAATAGTTTATATAATAACATTTGAAGCCAAAATAAAGAACTGAAATAGGCAGATTTACCTCTTGAATAATGCATCTTTATTGGCGAAAGATATCACATACTAGAGGATCTCGAGGTAAAATTTCCCTCATAGCACACTGTATGGTGTATGCCCGTCTTCATTAGCCCAGTTCGGAGCAAACAGTAGGACGTTAAACCCCATTTACTTTAATTATATTTAAATATGCATTATGTAAGAGCTAATATAAGCGTTAACTTATCTCTCTAATAAAACTGGAGTGCCTTATATAATAGCGTGGTGCACTATCGAATTCCAACTGTCAGGGGATCTTTTACGTGCACGTCAATGTGTACACGGGACCTCGGTTTTTCGTATCATCCGAATGACTAGACATCTGTCCTTGTGAGGCCCTCCGTCATGCATCATTGACACCGTAAATCTGGATGAACTTTCTCGGCCAATGCAGGGATCGAACACCCAACCTCCAGGCTAACGAGCCAGCGTCTTACCTACTTAGCCACGCATATTTAAGTAATAATAATGAATAATATAGTTTTGTTGATGACATTATGATTCAAAATAGTTATCATAATATGTGGACTCACAGATATATTATAGCCTTTCGTTCATTTCAGATAACCGAACTTTATAAAGTCATCTACATTACAGTAAACAGATAATAAATAATATAATATGGCCAAGGGACTCTTGTCATCACGGTGTTTACCGTATCGTATTCTTGAATTAACTCTAATTTTGTGTATGTGTTGGGTATTATTTACTACCGTCTGTTGGACGTGGTTTTTATGGTCAAATTTTAAAGTTCCTTCACCAGCACATAATATTGTGACAGAGAATCCTAAAAGTATTTTAGAAATTCAACATGTCCCTAGCAAAGTGAATAGAAGTAACAGTCAAATTCCTGTATATATAGTAGAGGAGCACCATGAAGGTAGTTGATTTTAATTAGAAAAATGTATAGTTAAAGGAACAATACCATAATATAATAAAAAAAAAACCAGCTGTTACATTGAGTATAATATGATGGTTTTACGATCGAGTTAATAGCCAGTGGCATTGATTTAGTATGATTTGTGGGACTGGTGCACTAATAAGGTTAATAAGCTGCATGTTGGCGCTTCGATATCTTCACATTAAATGAGAAATTCAATATCGCTATATAATTATTTGCTTTACATGTATTATGCTTTAAACAGGTTTTTTTTTAGTCAGTTGATCTAGCTTTGTCTCATAGATAGGGCATCAAGACGAGAGTAATACCGATGATTTAATCTCAAAAGAACCCAGTATAAGTAAAGTGTTGACGGGGGTGTTGAATCAAATTGTTGGTACTGTCATTTTTAATTATATGATATTCTTTAAATGTTTTTTATATTGTTATGCTTACAGTTCTGCCATATTGGTTTGGAGCTGCCAAACGCGGACTTATTTCTAAACGCGGCAACACACTGGTAAGACGATTTTTGTTTAAGAGATTTATTTACGACCACAGTGTAGTTTACTACAAAATGATTTTAGTACATATGGTTCAATTTTATTTCAATAATTCGCTTCCGCGTATGGGGTCTTTTAACTGTGGGAGGAAACCGGAGGACCCGGAGAAAGCCCACGAGGTATGACAGGCGACCCTACTCCTTGTCTTGTCACGTACAGCCGTGGAATCGAAATCACGCCAGTTGACTTAATGACAGACCTCATGATACAAAACGTACGCACTATCCATTCAGATTTTTTATAAATTGGGTGAGCTCATGATTATCATTGGCTGGTCACGTTGTAAATGACAGTACCTGATAACAAATAAACCTAATGGATGTTGAACAATTTTATGCCCCCAAGCAATCTGATCTCTATCGTATTCGCAAGCTTTTTCGGATACGTAGTACATCTCTGGAATGCAGAGAAGGGTCCATCCCTCAGATCCCAGCGCTGCATACCGAATTTAAAAATGAATTGGGCTCATCACGTTGCTGAAAAATAATAGGATTTATCCTCTTACAGTCCTAATGAATCCTATCAAGTTTTAAAGCATCCTTTCAAAACAGTAGGCTCTATCACATCCGTAATGTTTCCGGAAAAGGGGGCATAACTGCGGTACGGAAGGTCGCATAATACTGAAAATCTACAGGGTTCATCCTAGCTTATCTCAATGCTTCAGATCAAATTTATTAATTTGATTCACCCCCGACTGAAAAACAATAGAGTACATCGTATTACGGTTCAATTTGAATGACCACTTAAAAACTGATTTCGTTACCACGTTCACAATGTTTTTGGAAAAAGGTGGGATAGGTGGGATACGGAATGTCACTGAATTCTGAAAATCAATAAATTTTGTCCACTTATCACACTAAATTTGAAAGAAGTCCATTAACAGAGTTCATTCTTTCCGATCTCAATGTATCATAATATGAAGTTCATACAAAATTTGAAAATAAATTCGGTTCATCCACTGATGACCCCAATGCTTCACAACACATTTGAAAGCCAGTTGTTGACGAACGAAAAGAATGACCGACGGATAGGGTCGACAAAATTATACACCCCATTGCTGTTCCCCTTCTTGTAGAACGTCCACTCCATCAAATAAATTAGATGTACACCTATGGAACATTTTATTTCATACTTGTAGGTTCATATTGATGCACATCCAGATTCAGCTCTGTCAGGACATCAGGACTGGATACCACCTTTTCGGTTTCCCGAGTCTGAAATGGAGATTTTTAAAATGATGCAGGAGAATGATAGCTTTATAATGGTAGGAGATTTTCGTGTTTTGTAACTTTGATTTCTTATTTTGTCAACAGGATAAGTAATGGTGTATTCTAAAATATTAAATAAAGTGGTATTTAGAAGTAGGCCACACTAAGTATACTAACGAAGCAGACTAACGAAGACTTACAAAGGGTAGTACCAAGTTCCATTCGATTCTGGTCGCTAATGAGAGATGCCGCCCATACACTGGTGCGTTGCTTAGTATTATCAAGAATTGATTACTGCAATAGTCTTCTCTCGGGTATCAATCAAAAACTTATTAATAAACTACAGCTGGTACAAAACACCGCAGCTAGGATCATTTTTCAGTCCACCAGAAATCACCACATAACACCACTCCTGAAATATCTTCATTGACTTCCAGTCAAAAGCAGAATTAATTTTAAACTTCTTTGTATAGCTTATAGATGCTAACAAACTACAAACCACAAAGAACTCTCAGATCGCAGAATGAATATCTTTTAACTGTACCTACCTATAAACTTAAATCATTTGAACACAGAGCTTTCTCGTACATAGTACCAACCCTGTGGAACTCTCTTCCTTTAGGAATTAAGAATTCCAAGAGCCTGGAATCTTTCAAGTCACAATTACAGACATATCTATTTACTCTATCATACTAACTTCTTCAATTATATGTACATGTGAAGTGCTGACAATTGCGCCATGAGCATACACGAATGGAATGTGCGCATTATAAATATACACTATTATTATTATTATTATTTATTATTTAGTAGTTTATAAGAGTAAACTGACACAGCCCAAGAACGATCACATTTCCATGAGAGTATTTGTAGTAACTCTTCGGAAATTCGAGGCCAGTTTTTTTAGAAATAAGGCCATTTTTTCAGAAGGGAGGCCACTTTTTCAGAAGGGAAGGCACCTTTTGGGAAGGAATTGCACATATAGCCATACACACACCGCTAAACCCTGTTAAAAAGTCTCATCGGATTCGATCGTTATTTTAAACCATTTTCGGTTTCTTTTGTGTTTGCATTAATGCGGACAGAGTGGGCACGCCTCGATAACGAAGACGGGCAGATGTCATTGAAATCCAACTGGAGAGGGTTCCATTACGTGTGCATCAACTAGTACACGATTGAACATCAGTTATCCATGCCATAACTTTTCTCCCTTGTCATGGATTTTTCTCGGCTGATCCATGACACGGAAATCGAATACAATGTCTCCTGATTAATTGTACTAACCGAATGTTTACAAAGACGCTCCAGCTCTTCCAATGCCATTAACCAGGAACATGTGGCGATTCATCGTGTTGATTTAGCAATTGTGACAGATATCACGCGTTGACATAAACAAGGCATAGTTGTAATATATCGGGTGGCCCGGAAACAGCGAGTATACTATTTATAGTGGAATGATTCAAACAGTATTGTACTTATATCATTCACATGTCCTACGTGGTACAACTTCACTCCGAATTGTAGGGTCATCCGTCAAATCGTGTTAACATACCACGAGTTTTAAAAAAGAATGTCAAATTTTCCCCTGTCTTGCACTAAGCGCCTTTTCCACCCATATTCGTATTTCTTCTAAGCTTATGTTACCTAAACTGCATCCCTCAGTTCATTTTCCGTAAAGTGTTTTATGTGTTCTTCAATAAACCGAGAGAATATTCCAGATGGCGTGATCCATCGGAGTTCGGTCCAAAGGCTAGCAGTCTCTCGTCTTTTTAAATAAAGTTCGCGGAAAATTATCGCTAAATGCGGACGCTAACAGCTTGTATAAATATGTCAATAAAAGCATTCCATGCGATAACCTAATGTTTTAATAAATTTAGCTTATATCTCTAGCACGAAATGAAATAAGGGAAATGAATTATTGAATTTAAGCACGTCTAATATTTGCGAATTCTTAAACGCGCCATCTTTTAAAATGATAAATGTAAATAATAACATACATAGTTGATGAAAAATAAATTCATTATATTTTCAGAGTTCCGTGATTACAGGTTTATTCAATCGTTGGATCTTCATTTGGTCGTCCTGGGATACTGATATGTTCCAAGATATAGGGCATTACTTTAAAGTCGTTGTAGAATTAGGACATTTTACAGATGTGCCACCCAACAGTTCTTTCCCGTTTTGTAGATGCTTCAGGACTGCAATCTTCAAGCGGAACAAAGAGTGTGTACATTTTTCTGGGTATCGTGGTATGAATGAAACGGTTATAGAACCTTCTCGGTGTGATATAAAGTTTACTTATACCTTGGAACAATTAACAGAAAAAAATGCATTAGAGCGCATTGAAAAAGGCGACTGGCTTACAAAGGACGAAAATATTGTTCTGGATATTGATGAGGATTTCTATGGTTGCGAAGCAGCTGTTCAACCCCTTTATGATGTGGGAATATTTGAAGAAGAGCTGAACACGATTAAAGAGCCTCTGTATTATTTATTCTGTCCCCGAAATGCCATCGATGAACGAAGCTTTGATAAAATCTTCCATTTTATAACCTCAATGGTTGCAGATTTTACTCCATCAACTAAAGACGAAACGCAGTTGAGGGCAGAGAGACGGCAATTTATTGACAAAGTCGGTGAAGAATTTTTACAAAATGTCAAAACCATGGGTGTGGAAGGTGGAATGTGCAGTAAAATAGATAGTAAGCGAACGGACTATTTGCGACTTCTGCTGTTCAAATTGCTAAAGTTATCTGAAAAACAGATAAAGGCTTTGAGTGAGATCGGTCTGTGCTTAGTGATGACTCCTCGCTCTGTTTTATACAATCCATTATATGGTATGAGAACATGTGATGGATATAATCGACCCGGCGAGTCAATGGTATTCTTCCACACACCCACAATAGAAGAAATAAACCAAAGAACTAAAGATCTTAAGCAAATAATCAGCGGAATCCCCGATCCAAAGATTGTTACTATATGTAGATCCATGCGTGACGGATATACTCCGAGAAAATTCTTCCACAAGATTGAATCTGATGTTCTAGAATCGCTTGAACAAGGGTATTCAAGAATAAATAGGGACGGAATTCATTACGATTCACAGTTATTAGGTGGTAGAAATGGTTGGCCGGATAGACACAAACCTTTATAGACATTTAATTCATTACATGTGCTTTTTATGTGTAAATCATTATAGCTTTTGGAGACCATCACCAATGCATCTCTGAATTATAGACTTATTACGTTACAGCTTTCATTGAGTTCAACGTGCGGTCAAAAAAAAAGTTCGTTGGACATTAATCGAAACGATGTTTTAAAAAAAGAAAACAAAAAGGTTCGCTGCCATTTTGAGCTGGGTGTACCTGGATGGAAAAGAAAAAGTCAGAAATTCCTTTGTGCTTGATCGACTTGAATGGTTTTAGGATTATGCATTTTAGCAAGACTATTTTATATTGTGTATGATCTGAAAGTCTGGAATATTGTGCCTACACCTGTACACTATATCACAGTGGAGTTCATGACATTATCTGAGAACGTACAGGGACCAAGCATCAAAATTATGTCCGTTTTGGTTTTGTTATTCTAAGTAAAGTCCGTTTTGATTTTGTTATTCTAAGTTATGTTCGTGTAAGTTATGTTATTCTAAGTTATATCACCCGTGTTGATTATATACGCATGTTGATGTTCTCAGTTTGGTACTTGATTTATCGTTTTCGGTTGGCTATGACCATTTTAGAATGCAAAAGTTCAACCCGTGAAATGTGATAACGACTGGAACACAACACACTAATCAGAAAATTAAATCCGAGGGATTGCATTATTTAGACAATTGTTTATCTATATTAATATTGTATATAATAAATATGACTTTAATGATCACGTTTAGTATAATATACTCTTTTTGCTACCTTGGTGTTTTTTAAGCATGACGCGGTCCTTGACTTGTTTGAGGCCCGGTCGTCACGTGGGAGTCAGGACAAAGGTGCCCTATTTTTTTTATCTGTTTTCCAGATCTTTGTTTTTAAGAATCTCTACATATTAATTACCTGATACATTCTTCAGAGGTATTCGTATAGATCGTCTTGTAAGTCGTGCAGCTGTGCCCAATGCAATACCGAAATAAAATGAAATAAAGTCCCTGCGTTGGCCGAGAAAGTTCATCGGTGTTTTCCGACTTGGTTTCCCCTTGTCAGTGGTGCAGAAAGGAGGGCCTGACAAGGACAACTGTTTAGTCATTCGGATGGAACGAAAAACCACAGGTCCCAGGTATACATTGGCGTGCACGTAAAAGATACCCTTACAGTTGGAATTCGATATAAGAGAAAGCCAGAGTGCCACTGCCTGAGCAAAGTTCCCTCATAGCACACTGCATGGCGTATGCCCGTCTTCATTACATCAGTCGGAGCAGAACAGTAAGGCGTTCAACCCTATTTTATTACATTTCATAATTATATTTGTTCCAGTTTGTATAGTGAAATGAGTATTGATTTGCTGGTGATTTATCCAGAAATAGGTTATTATTTTTACACAAGCTTCATGACTATCGGTAATTCCAGTCCGAGTAGCGTCTGACCACCCCGCACTCTTCCCTAGCAAATCCACGGTTACTACTGGCTTGATACTCACACAATAGGGGACTCAAAATACATTTCTTTATATTTTATAATGGGCGGCAGTATATATTATGATTTATTTATGGATGTTACACTGTATCGAGTGACAACTCTGATTTCCCCAGCTGCTCTCAAAACTATTACACCATTCCGCAATACTAGCCATACATACGACTATTGAAGGATGGTGTGACGTTAGGTTTGAATGGAATTGACTTTTACGCCTTTGGTAATTGCAATCTGAACACTGTTATCACCTGAAGCAAGTGACGGTCACAGGTTGTACTAGCTATATCGAATACAGGATGTTAAACTCATTTCATGACGGGAGGCGAGTGCAGTATGGAACTTCTCTAAGAACGGTAAGAGTTTAAGATATCGCTATGGTCTGGTAAAACAAAGAATCATCTGTGAGATTTCATATCAAATAGAAAACTGTGTGGTTATTTCATTTTGAAGATTTGTCGGCATGGATTCTTGTGATGTCATAGTAGTCGAAAGGAAAGCGAATCTGGACGCTGAGTTAACATGATAAAAGGATTACCATATTTCGGGAATTACCCCCCAAAAGACATAATGTGTTTCATATATTAATTATGCATTATGCATTATTTACACAACGAGCTGACAGTCCTCCCTATAATACTTAATAATATATAATCAAAAAGGAATATGGCTGTTGTATGATATAGCGTAGATTGTTTATTATCATAGAAACGGTACTTGACAACCAAGGCTTAATCTCGATTATCCATTTTATTGTTACATTTTTAGATCTCGCGGATGTTTTAATCCATTTAAATCTGAACCATCCGATGTTCTAGCGAGTTGATTATAGGCTTGTCATGTGAATAGACGTCTAAACAATAGTTTATATAATAACATTAGAAGCCAAATTAAAGACCTGAAATAGGCAGATTTACCTCTTGAATACTTTAATGGCGAAAGATATCACATACTAGTGGATCTCAAGGTTTGGGCGGGCATCACGCTATTAAATAAGACACCACCAGTATTATTAGAGAGCTAAGCTAACGCTTATATTAGCTCTTACATAATGCATATTTAAGTAATAATAATGAATAATATAGTTTTGTGGATGACATTATGGTTCAAAATAGTTATCATAATATGTGGATTCACAGATATGACAGCCTTTCGCTCATTTCAGATAACCGAACGCAGCCCGAAGTCATCCACATTACAGTAAACAGATAATAAATAATATAATATGGCCAAGGGACTCTTGTCATCACGGTGTTTACCGTATCGTATTCTTGAATTAACTCTAATTTTGTGTATGTGTTGGGTATTATTTACTACCGTCTGTTGGACGTGGTTTTTATGGTCAAATTTTAAAGTTCCTTCACCAGCACATAATATTGTGACAGAGAATCCTAAAAGTATTTTAGAAATTCAACATGTCCCTAGTAAAGTGAATAGAAGTAACAGTCAAATTCCTGTATATATAGTAGAGGAGCACCATGAAGGTAGTTAATTTTAATTAGAAAAACGTATAGTTAAAGGAAACAATACCATAGTGTAATAATAAAAATCAAACAGCTGTAACATTGAGTTAATAGCCAGTGGCATTGATTTATTATGATTTGTGGGACTGGTGAACTTCGCATATGGTTAATAAGCTGCATGTTGGCGCTTTCAATATCTTCACATTAAAAGATAAATTCAATATCGCTTTTAAGTAAGACCACCGCATACAATTATGTGCTATATAAACTGGTTTTTAGTCAGTTGATCTGGCTTTGTCTCACAGACAAGGAGGCATCAAGCCTGGTTTTCACTTTTGAATTGTGGCTCCTACCGGTTTGACAGGTACAGTGTGTCTAATATTTCTTTGTGGAACCCCCCAAAAATGAATTTTACCACTTTTCAAGCTATTTTTCTCGTATAGTTAATATAATTAACCAAAGCATAGATTGGTAGTACACAATAAAAAAACCCACCAATTAGCAGTTGGAATTCAAAGAGCAGCTATGTTGCATATAAAAATATCGGTGGTTTAATCTCAAAAGAACCCTGCATAAGTAAAGTGTTGACGGGGTGTTAAACCAAATTGTTGGTACTGCCATTTTTAATTATGCGCTATTCTTTAAATGCTTCTTTATATTGTTATGCTTACAGTTCTGCCATATTGGTTTGGAGCTGCTAAACGCGGACTTATTTCTAAACGCGGCAACACACTGGTAAGACGATTTTAGTTTTAGAGATTTATTTATTTTGTAGTTTACTACAAAATGATTTTAGTACAAATGGTTCAATTTAGTTTCAATATGGGGTCTTTTAGCAGTGGGGGGGGGGGGGCCGGAGAAAGCCCACGAGCTTGGACAAGCGCCTCTACTCCTTGTCTTGTCACGTACAACCGTGGAATCGAAATCACGCCAGTTGACTCAATGACAGACCTTATGATACAAAACGCACACACTAACCATTCGGCTCTCGAACAGTAGGACGTTAAACCCCATTTCATTTCATTTCATTCGGCCCTCCAACTCCCCCCACCCCCCACCCCAAAAAAAACATAAAAGAGAATTTATAAAAAAAACCAAAAAAAACAAACAGGAACGCATGTTTCCCCTATAAATCCACAATTACTATCTTGTTCTGGATCACGACACAATATAAACATTTATTATGCATTTTGTTCGACATGGAGATGAGTGTGTAATTATTTTGGTAATATTGGTTGGATGTTTTATTATTATCATAAATTAAAGATTTTAAGAGATTGGGAGAGCTCATGATTATCATTGGCGGTCCCGTTGTAGATTTTTTTTTGTAAAATATGGCTTTAATTGCACTAGTAACACAACTATAACTCATTTTAGAGTGTTTACTCATAACGAGTAAAGTATAGATTATTTTAGCTTGTATACACTTAAAGACGTGTAAATGTTCAAAATATTACCAAGTACAAAATCTTAATTAATAATTCTTGATTCAGGTGAGGTGCATAAATAAATAAACCACATTATTCAGCCAAGATTATTCAGTGCATTGATTTTTCCTCATGATTTATATTCATTGTAATTTGATGCAGATAGTCTAATTGCCCAACAGCAGTTGAATTTGAATCAGTCTGATGGGTATTTGTCACTTTAATGTCATTGTAAAATGAAACACAGTAGCCGACGGTCTATATGAAATCTGGGTCGGGCTAAACGCACTATACTAATTATCATGGAAGTCGTTGGCTTGAAAAAAATATTCAACAAAACAAATTACACCCGTGTTGGTGTAATAATTAAAATGGAAGTGTAATTTGCAAGGGGATAATGCTTAATCTACACCCACGGGTGTAAACTATTTATATGTAACATTACACTGTCTGAGTGCACCAGGCAGGTTACACTACTGGAAGTGGCAACTAGTTTACACCCGAATTGGTGTAATGTTCTACACTAGTTGGGTGCTATCGGTTTACACCACTAAAGGCTAGGAGTTACCCCTATTTAGGTGGCAACTGGTGTAAACTTCCTTATTATTTTAACTGTGTGAGAAAGGTCCATCCTCTATTATCCCAGTGCTTCAAAGCGAGTTTGAAAATGAATTGGGCTCATCACGTTGCTGAAATATAATATGATTCATCCTCTTACAGTCCTAATGAATCCTATCAAGTTTTAAAACATCCTTTAAAAACAGTAGGCTCTATCACATCCGTAATGTTTCCGGAAAAGGAGGGTTGCATAATGCTGAAAATCTACAGGGTTCATCCTCGCTGATCTCAATGCTTCACACCAAATTTATTAATTTGATTCATCGTATCACGGTTCAAATTTGAATGACCAATTAAAAACTGATGCCATAACCACGTTCACAATGTTTTTGAAGAAGGGGTGATAGGTGTGACACGGAATGTCACGGAATGCTGAAAATCAATACCAAATTTGAAAGAAGTCCGTTAACAGAGTTCATTCTTTCCGATCTCAATGTTTCATAGTATGAGAAAGAGAGAGAGAGAGAGAGAGAGAGAGAGAGAGAGAGAGGGAGGAGAAATGGGGTTTAACGTCCACTCGACACAAACTAGGTCATTTCGGGGCTAACATAATGGTTTAATTTTTTATTTCAATAATTCGCTTGAGCATTGGGGTATTTAGCAGTGGGAGGAAACCGGAGGGCCCGGAGAAAACCCACGAGGTTGGACAGGCGACCATACTCCTTCGAAACCACGCCAGTAAACTCAATGACAGACCTTATGATACAGCGCGCACATGATAACCATTTGCCCCCCCCCCCCACACACACACACACACGCGCGCCCAAACCGCCCCTTCATAGTATGAAGTTCATACCAAATTTGAAAATAAATTGGGTTCATCACTCACAGAAAATTTTGAAGTCAGTTGTTGACAGATGAACAGAATGGCCGACGGATGGGATTAGCATCATTGCTGTTCCCACTCTTGTAGAACGCCCACTACCATCAAATAAATTAGTTGTACACCTAATGAACATTTTATTTCATACTTCCCTTGTAGGTTCATATTGATGCACATCCAGATTCAGCTCTGTCAGAACATCAGGACTGGATACCACCTTTTCGGTTTCCCGAGTCTGAAATGGAGATTTTTAAAATGATGCAGGAGAATGATGGCTTTATAATGGTAGGAGATTTTCGTGTTTTTTATTTTGTCAACAGGATAAATAATGGTGTATTCTAAAAAAATAAATAAAGTGGTAGTTAGACGTAGGCCACACTAAGTGGACAAACAAAACAAAGACGAAGGAGGATAGGCAGACAAATCAAAGGGCACATTTTGGTTAGATGGCACATGCTGCAGTCGATTTGGCCTATACCCGACCCATGACATACCCGACCCTGACACTTGGTTGAGGGATTATGATTAAGTCCTGAAGATGAATATAATTAGCAACAACCAAGAACTAAATAAACCACGTGTACATAAAATCAAGCATCAAAGGGGACTGACATTCCTTCTAAAGCGTAGTACCAAATTTCATTCCATTCTGGTCGCTATAATGAAGAAGTAGGCTATAAGAATAAACTGACACAGCCCAAGAACGATCACATTTCCATGAGTATTTGTATACCTCTTTCGAAATTCGAGTACACTTTTTCAGAAATGAGGACATTTTTTCAGAAATGAGGACATTTTTTCAGAAATGAGGACATTTTTTCAGAAGGAAGGACATTTTTCGTGAAAAATTGCACATAGCCATACACACACCGCTAAATCCTGGTAAGAAATCACATCAGATTCGAGCGTTATTAACAATTTTCGGTTTCTTTTGTGTTTGCATCAATGCGGGCAGAGTGGGCACGCCTCGGTAAAGAAGACGGGCAGATGTCATTGAAATCCAACTGGAGAGAGTTCTTTTGCGTGTGCATCAACGAGTACACGATTGAACCTCGGTTATCCATGCCATAACCCTTTCCCTTGCCATGCCCATGTCCCGCATGTCTTGAGAATCTTTCTGGGCTAACACGAATATCGAATACAATGTTCCTTGTTAGTTGGCCAGCACCGTTCCTACTGAGCCGCCTTTGTTCCGACAGGTTGTACAACCTGAATATTTACAAAGACGCTCCAGATCTTCCAATGCCATTAACCAGCATCATGTGGCGATTCACCGTGTTGATGTAGCAAATGTGACAGATATCACGCGTTGACATAAACAAAGTATAGTTGTAGTATATCGGTGGCCCGGAAATAGCGAGTATACTATTTATAGTGAAATAATTCAAATAGTATTGTACCTATATCATTCTCATATCCCAGGTGGTACAATATGGTAGTTTGACTACTTCACTCCAAGCCTTTACCCGAGAGACTATTATTTCATCTTTTTAATAAAGTTCGTTTAAAAATATCGCTAAATGCTGACGCTAACACCTTGTATAAAAGTGTCAATAAAATCATTCAATGCGATGACATAATGTTTTAATAAATTTAGCTTACACATCTAGCACGAAATGAAATAAGGGACATGGGTGGCATATGTAGGAAGATGCACCTGTAAGAAAACACCTTGTTGAATTGAAGCACATCTAATATTTGCGAATTCTTAAACGCGCCATCTTTTAAAATGATAAATGTAAATAAGAACATATATAGTTGGTGAAAAATAAATTTATTATATTTTCAGAGTTCCGTGATTTCAGGTTTATTCAAACGTTGGATCTTCATTTGGTCGTCCTGGGATACGGATATGTTTCAAGAAATAGGGCATTACCTTAAAGTCGTTGTAGAACTAGGACGTTTTACAGATGCGCCACCCAACAGTTCCTTCCCGTTTTGTAGATGCATCAAGACTGGAATGTTCAAGCGGAACAAAGAGTGTGTACATGTTTCTGGGTATCGTGGTATGAATGAAACGGCTATAGAACCTTCTCAGTGTGATATAAAGTTTACTTACACAATGGAAGAATTAACAGAAAAAGAGGCATTAGAGCGCATTGAAAAGGGCGGCTGGCTTTCAAAGGACGAAAATATTGTTCTGGACATTGATGAGGATTTCTATGGTTGCGAAGCAGCTGTTCAACCCCTTTATGATGTGGAAATTTTTGAAGAAGAGCTGAACAAGATTAAAGAGCCTCTACATTATTTATTCTGTCCCCGAAATGCCATCGATGAACGAAGCTTTGATAAAATCTTCCATTTTATAACCTCACTGGTTGCAAAATTTACTCCATCAACTAAAAACGAAAAGCAGTTGAGGGCAGAGAGACTGCAATTTATTGACAAAGTCAGTGAAGAATTTTTACAAAATGTCAAAACCATGGGTGTGGAAGGTGGAATGTGCAGTAAAATAGATATTACGCGAACGGGCTATTTGCGACTTCTGCTGTTAAAATTGCTAAAGTTATCTGAAAAACAGATAAAGGCTTTGAGTGAGATCGGTCTGTGCTTAGTGATGACTCCTAACTCTGTTTTATACAATCCATTATATGGCATGAGAACATGTGATGGATATAATCGACCCGGCGAGTCAATGGTATTCTTCCACACACCCACAATAGAAGAAATAAACCAAAGAACTAAAGATCTTAAGCAGATATTCAGCGGAATCCCCGATCCAAAGATTGTTACTATATGTAGATCCATGCGTGACGGATATACTCCGAGAAAATTCTTCCACAAGATTGAATCTGATGTTCTCGAGTCGCTTGAACAAGGGTATTCGAGAATACATAGGGACGGAATTCATTACGATTCACAGTTATTAGGTGGTAGAAATGGTTGGCCGGATAGACACAAACCTTTATAGACATTTAATTCATTACATGTGCTTTTTATGTGTAAATCATTATAGCTTTTGGAGACCATCACCAATGCATCCCTGAATTACACAACTTTCAGTGAGTTTCAGCGGACGATCAAAAAATATGTTTTAACAAAATGAGACCTGGGCTTTGAATTTATTACATTTATTGTCTAGTTGATAGGAATAATGCTTCTTACACGAATAGATTTCATTGGGTGTGCGTGACTTACTTCGATTAACACCTTGCATTTCGATTTGATCCCGACTCTGCCAGAGATGGGAGCCATGACCCAAGACAAGTAATTGTGGTGGCATTAGGGTCATAACGTGACAGGAATATATACAGATGTTAATAGATAGTAGGTTGGTTTATGAGATGTAAATCAGAAAATAATAAATTAAATTTCAAGTTCAATTGATGCAAGTGCGATTGTAGTTATAAAAGGTTTCTTACGAAAACAGGGATGATGTAGATATATACTAAACAGCAAAAAAAAAAATGTCAGTACGATTTCAAAATCAGAGAGGCACTTTAATCAAATCATTCTAGAAAAGCAATTTTTTGTGAACAGTATGTTGATACATTAGTGATTAATTCATCACAATTCCAAGACATTACGAAAAGGTGTATAGTCTGTACACAGTCTATACATCAGTATCTGGAGTGTCAATAACAGCAGCGCAGCGTCTGTACATGGAGTGGACCAGACGATTGATGAACGCCATTGGCACCTAGAACCACACTCCCAGAAAAGCCTGGCGCAACCCATCGTCTGTGTTTGGTTTCGGTACAACGTTATTAAATCTCCTCTGAATTTCATCACACCGATGTTCAATACGGTTTAAGTCCGGACTAAGGGCTGGTCAGTGCATAACGTTGACACCGTTCTTCTGTAGGAAGTGTGGGCACGGCGTTGTCGTGCTGGAAAAGGTTGTTTCGATAACGTGCGAAATATGGTATGACGTGGGGTCTGAGAGCTTGATCACCAAGATTTTGGAACCCCGCAGGACCCACTCTCTGGTTCAGGCCTATTCCACCCGAAACCATTATGCTTGGGCCGCCCCATGAGTCTCGTTCCATGACACATTGGTCAGAATAACGCTGGCCACGTCGACGCCATATTCTGGTCCTGCCATCTGTAGTTGATACGCAATGCCGACTCTCATCTGTGAACAGAACAGTTCTCCATTTCCTGTGTCGCCAGTTCTGGTGTTGTCGGGCAAACTGTAGACGTTCCGGTAAGGTCTACGGCAATGGATGTTCTCTCTGGTGAGACGTCGGCGCACTGTATCGGTACTGATGGGTCTTCCGCGTGTTCCCACTGTCTGACGTGCTGGCTCAGATGCCTGTGTGAAGGGATTCTGCCCTTGCTCTCGCACACAAACTCGCGACACCGGCACTGCATACCTGACTTCCGATGTCCCCTTTATGATGTTATTTGAACAGAAATCAAATTCTTAATAACACACACACAAAATAAAATCTTGGTAACTGCTTTTATTCTTATGAGTTGTATTTAAAGAGAAAAGATGTAAAAGAAAAGATTAATGGAATGGCGCCAAGTTTTCTCTCAAGACGCTGTTGTCGCTTTTTATATTTCATACATAATATCACTTTATTCTCTTATAGTTACATATAATATCTTGTAGAAAAATAATAGATTTGTGCTTTTAACAGAATAATAAAAGGGTTTTCCAGTTTTAATATCATATATATATATTTTCTTATAAAAACAAAGCAATAGGCCTATATACATTGCCGTGAAAACAAGTTTTTGAGAGAGAGACAGAGAAAGAGAGAGAGATGGGATTTAACGTCCACTCGACACAAACTAGGTCACTTCGGAACTAACATATAGTTCAATTTTATTTTAGTAATTTGCTTGCGCGTGGGAGGAAGCCGGGGGACCCGGAGAAAACCCACGAGGTTGGACAGGCGACCTCACTCCTTGTCACGTACAACCGGGGAATCGAAACCATGCCAGTTGACTCAATGACAGACCTTATGATATGCTTTGGAAGCTACAGAGATTGACATTCTGTTTAGTTTTTTTTTGATAATCGAAACTATGAAATACTACCAGTGTACATGCTATAAGGTGCATAACAAATAGTACCAGAAGTTCAATTATGTTCCACAAAGATATCTTGAATTGTATACCAAAATCTGTTTTCATGGAAACACAAATTTAAAATTCCGAGAAATTAATTAACAAAAAGCAAAACTACTATACTAGTATGATATGTGTGGAAGGTTTCGTGCTATACTCTGGAAACAAAAACGGGGACAGACGGACGGACCCCATTTCAGTATCTTTCCCATAACTTCGTCTGGCGATGGATAACAAAGTAGTGGGGCATATTCTTCTAATAACAAACAATAAGAAGTCATGATGATATTATATTTTTAAACAAACAAAAAGTAATAATTGTTGCAGTAATAATATAGTACTTATTGTTGATCTTAATATTTTAAAGAACAGCAATTGTGTAACTTGTGTTCCCTTTTTGGCATAATATATACTGAGACGCAATGAACATGCTGGGCATGCTGAAAATCACGATGTTATAAAAAGTGGTTGGTTCAAGAAGGCATAAGCAACACATTTCCCGTCATCACCAAACTGCAAAATAACGGGAAACTGCATTGCGAGCAGAGAAGGATCTTACAAGCAGGATTCTCTCCTTCATGGGGTGACGCTGAACGGCGCGCGTGTCTGCTAAAGTAGCCCATTACTGCCTTGATTTTTAGCCCTTGTATCCACGTTTCACTGCAAAGTTAAGTTGTTATGTCTTCTTGGAATATTGTCGATTTCCCTGTGTCGGTAATATCCAGCCAACTGCCAAAAATCATAATTCAACTGCATTATTTCTGGCAAGCACGTTTAGTCAAATTAGTAATGGGTTGTCACTGGGTCTCAGTACAATTTTGGCACTCAAAGTTAACTAGCACAGCAATAACTGATAATAACAGAAAGCAATTTAGTCTTTTAACACATATTTGTTTTGGTAAAAAAAAACCAAACATATTAAAGTAGCTTATAACTCCTCTTTCCCAGTTGCAAGATCCGAGTTCGAATTTCCATTTATTGATCTTTGACATAATGGGCCACCATTATAAGATCGTGTTTAAAGAGCTGAACTTATCGAGTTCACCAGAGTTTAATATATTTCATGTGTAATAATAATAATAATAATAAATATTTAGCGGTAAAATAAATTGGGTAGGCCTAGACTATAAATGGTCATAGGTTATTAACGTTATACAAGTAACTTGGTCGCCATGAATTGCATTGTCTAAATCTGAGCATCTACATCAATGAGAGATTTGTTAAAAGAGATGGTGAAGAAACAGAAAAAAGATAATAAAAATAACAATATAATAGAATTATTATATACGACAGAATTATTGAATCAAAGATGAAAAATATTCAATAACAAATAGGTGAGTAAAAATTTTGCAAAAAAAAGCTGAAAAATTATGTACACTTAACAATATATTTTATGTATAATATATTTTATAACAATTTAAGCATATCAAAAATATCCTCTTAATATAGATATGGAAGCAAGAAGGACAAACGTAGGTTGAATAGATCAAGAAATCACAATTAAAACAACTCTATACAAATTTAATTCCATTTTTACATAGAACTTGTAAGGGCAATAATATTACATGGACATGCATGTTAAAAAAAAGCCCAATTTGAATCCAATCATGCTATACATACGTTAAAATGGCTACACCTCTTTGACCTAGGTTTGACAATTTTATTGAAATTTATGTGTTGATATGCTTTGTGGGATAAAAATCTGTATTATTTCAAAATTTTATGTCATAGATGAAGCTAATCATTGATTGTGTTCACACAGTAAGCCAAAAATAGAACTAAAATTTGTAATGTTTACGACTTCCACTTTATCTTTCAAAACAAAAATGTATAACCAACTTTAACTTTCCAAACATATATTTGATTATATAAAACTTGTGCAATCACTAACCACACTGACATCAAATGACTTTTGACCTATATTAAAGAGGTTTAGCTGCTTTAACCATTCATTCAGAGTATGTGAAAGCTTACATTCTTACACAACAGAACAATTGCATGTAAGATTGGTTTAATTACAACAATTCACCCAAAATTTACTCTGCTGTCCCAAATTTGAACTGATAACACGCACCTCCTCCAGAGATGAGGAAATTTGTCACTTCTGTTTATTTACCCAGTTAATGTAGCAACTTTCATCCTTGTCTGAAAAAGTTATGTGTTATTAGGTTTAGCTTAAAACTGTTGACAATCCACATGAAATGTCTTGCAGTTATTTGTATTGTAGGCTTCCACTGCCACAAACTCGGCTCCCTAGAGGTTAAAACAAAAGTATGGAGCCCTAAATATTGAGGTTTTACTGAGAGTTTTATTTACCCTTTAATTTGTAAAAGGTGTATTTTCATTTTATTATTATTCATTGATAAGTTTATGTATACATCTTACATTAAAGATACATTATGTAAGATTTAGATAAAGAGCTTGCCATTCTTACCATTATAGTTCGAAAATAGATAATACAAAATGAATTTATTGAAAATTTCATTCAAATTGCTCCATCGCGAGCCAAGATATTAGCTTTTGACAGTTTGACAAGATGTGTGCATTAATTGCAACCAACACACTGGTTATTCGAAGCTTAGCCTCGATTCACCATTTTTAAATGAAATCAAAATATGGCTTAACCGTTCTAATCTACTTAATATTTGAGATATCCAATGGAATCGAGAGTTGATTATGGTCTTGTCATGTTAATAAAAGTCTAATTAATAGTTTATATAAAAATTTCAGGCCTAAAGAAAGACCTGCAATAGGCAGATTTAGTTCTTGCATAATGTATGTTTAAATATCCTATAATTTATATTAAAGATATGTGTTATCTGATATATGATCAAAGAGAACCCTCAATGCTACAAATACAGAAATACATACATTGAAATATATATCAAAAGCAGTCATGCACAGCCCCGAGATTTATTATTTCCACAGTTACACATATCAATAATCAAAACTAATTGATTTTTGCTTTACTGATGTGAGTTTGAAGTTTACATATTTTATCAATTATTTTATTACCACTGAGGTAGACTGAATGACTGACATATTTCATAACATCAAATCTAAGTAAGGTTTTCTATATTTATAACTTATACAGGACTTTTTTTCCAATTTCAATAAAAAAAAGTACAAATTAGAAACTACCCTATTACCACATATAAAACGATGTTAGACAACCTAAGATATCTTTTCATTGATGTGTAACATAGGAGACCAGATTTATAGTACATAAAGTGAGGGCCTCCATATTCTATATGTAGAACACATATTTCAGGGGAAACCCCAGCCCCAAATTAGACCAGATTCGAAAACAACAATCTAGAATAAAATATGCAGTGACACTCACAAAGAAACATGAAATGCAATATATGCTTTTAAAGCAAAACAGGTTTTGAAATTTGAGCGTCTGATAAGGTTATTCTGCTTGTTGTGTATTTTCAGTTCCTGGTGTAAATAACCTATCTCTTAACCAGTTTGACACAGGATTTTTTTTTCCGGCCCTGACCCCTCTAATGACTTGTTCACATTGAAGAATAGTTTAATTAGTTTTAACTGGTTTTCCTTGTGGTGGTAGGTAAAGCATAATATAATGACTAACTCATAAAGAGAGAAAAAAAACCCACCAAAAAACATATTTGTGCCCAATATCATGATACAAAAATTTGGGGGGGGGGGGGGCAGATTACCAAAAAATAGTCTAACACTATGCTCAATACATGTACACAAATGAAAATTTAGAGAAAACAAATTAATTAATCTAAAATTAAAACAATCAAGGAAAAATTAATATATTAATATAGTGATAGGAAAGGATTGGGGAGCCTACATTTTTACAAGGTCTCATAAACAAAATTATTCAAGATATAAATGTATCTACATGCATGTAGTCTATAGGTGATAATTCAACAGTATCTATGTAGTCTATAGGTGATAATTCAACAGTATCTATGTAGTCTACAGGTGAAAATTCACAGTATCTATGTAGTCTATAGGTGATAATTCAACAGTAATACATAGTAAATGAGATTCTACATACATAGATGTATCACACTGGTTAAATATCTATTAGGAAAGAAATAGGAGGCAGTACTTAAAATAAAAACCCAAGATAACAATAAATGTATATTCTAATAGTGCCATGAACTAAATACATCAAACAAAGATCCTATAATATACACATCAATTACAATACACTTATATACAATTTGTTTATTAAACAATGATATGAAGTTTTTGATAATTTAATAACATATATTGCAATAACAATTCATACAATTATACAGTTTATACAGAAACTAATTATTAGTCATCTTGACTAGTCAAATTTTAGTCAATTAGACCTCATGAGGAGGCAAAGGTTACATAAATATTCAAAGAAAACTTGAGAATAAACAATTGTGCATAATAACTACTACAATAACATTAATGAATTATTATAAAAAATAGACTACTTAAAGATATTATATTATTTAAAAAAAATATCAGGCCCATAATTTCAACCAAAATACAGCATGAAATTCATTTGTAATTTATGAATACAGTATATTTTGTGAAAGAATAATATGGATTATATAACATCAATGATGGCATAAAGAAGATGTGACTAGTCAAAATGCTATACTGAAATGTACACGTCATAATACACAATATTTTTAACTATTCTAAATATACAACATCTAACCGTATTTTACAATAAAAACCTTGATTACAAGTGCTATATCTGGGACTTGAAAACAAAAGAGGCAGTAACGTCAGGCTTAGACAGAATTCACTTTCCCTAATGTCACTATGGGGCATAACATGCATCTTCTGAGAACACAAGTAATATAATTTAATAAACCTGATGAACTCATCCGTCGACCGTCATTCATTTCAAACAATTGAATTTCTCAGAACTAATAAAGCAAGGTGCAGTACCATTTGGCATTAATAATGCCCCTACAACCTTTCATAGCCACAGTTGTAATGAAAATGAATTATGTAAACCAATAACAAAAAGCATAACTAAACACACACAAAAAATATCACAAGACATAAATGAAAAAAGGAATTTATGCTTGGGTACCATTACAAATTATTTACATCACTTATATTTATACATTAGTCAGCTATGATACAAATATCACAAACAAAGCTTAATATTATTCCAAGGAATTTTTTGTATTAGATACAATGGGGGACCCTTTGTTTTATAAAACACAGAAATGAAACCATTTTAAATACAATGTTCATTGTATAGATTAACTGATACTTTTTTTAAAAAAAACACACAAAAAAACCTGAATCATATGGCATTTTTTCTTAAACTAAAAATCGTTCAACATATTACTCATTTTTCTCAAACAAGATTGTTCACCAACAAACTTGTGAGAAGAATAAACAGAAAAATGGATGACATTCTCTGCATGCATACAAAAGATGCATAATTCAGTATTTTTATGAACACAAGAAACAGCTTTAGTTTCGTTTGTGTGTTTTTATTTAGTCTACAAAATACCACCCTCGAGTTATAAAATCTGTTTCTTAGCTTTGACAATCAGTACATGTATCTAAATTTAAAGCACTCTGCTACTTCACAAACATGCCTAAAACATGTGGATTATTAGGACAATAATTTTGTAAATTTATTAAGAATGAATCAAGTAATTCAGCACATCAAGGTGGGTAGTTTATAATATAATCATCGATTTAAAAATATATCCAAACTTTGAAGAAAAATTTATATATATCATGTCTTAAATTTTATTTCAATAATTTGGTCATTAGAAAGATCCTTCTTTGAAATGTTTAAACTTTAGACAGTCTAACAGATTAATCAATTGTGTACCTGGAAACAATCAATATTTCAACTACAAAGCAAAGAGGAGAATTGCACCCCAGCGGAAGACAAGACGAAACAACAAATCTATATACTATTCTGGAGGCAATGGCTAACAAATTCCAATTCCACACCACACTCAACATGGAAAAAGTTATTAAAATCAACCAATAATAATAGCAGTGATGAAAGCTACAGTGTGAACATCCAATACATTTGTCCTGATTCAAGAATACTGTAAAATTCTTAAGGGAGCTGTCAATAAATTTATTACGAAGGTATACACTGCTTGGGTCATGGGTTTTGTCAGGTTTGTTATAAATCGGCGACCACAACACTAAAAATACATCCACTCAAATCAGAGTTACATACGTGTTTAAAAAGCTTGATTCTTATTTGTCAAATATTGTACTGTGCAATGGTTTTCATATCCATTTTTAATAAACAATTTTATGGGACTATTTTGGGGTATATCTTACTACAATATCATTACACTAGAGCTTCACTATAATGCTGACACAGGGGTCCCCTATTTATTATACATGTACTAAAGGGCTTCACTGCAACACTGTCAGGAGCCAAGTCAACCTTCGCCTTATTCAGGAACATTTCAAGTGTTAAAATCTTTTCCAACTAATTGCAATATTTTTCTATAATTTTGCTTTGGTTTTGCTTTGCGTAGATGTATCAGGAAATAAATACTGTAGTTGCTACACAAGTTCAGTTGTTACGGGTATCCTTAAATGAAAACTTGCGTTGATGTGATAATCTCTGTGATATTTGTTTTGGTTGATTATGATAACCTTACAAGGCACAACATCATATCGATGACTTTTATTAATAATCAGGAAAGGACAATTTGGCTTTCATATAGGTGTTGATGAAGATTTCTACCACAATTATTTCAAAACATTATTTCTTCACTTTCGATTTAAACATTTTTAAAAATGTTGGTTTCTTTTTCTTATCTTTTTTAAGGGAATTATCTGAGTAAAGTGCAAGGTCTTCTGGAATTGGACTCGTAGACAAGTGTTTTAGAGCAGAGCTTGATTGACTGCGCTTATCTGTTAAACTTGTCAAACTAGACTCAGATGCCGAGGATGCTAAATCGTAAGATTGAGAATGTTTGAGAGCCTTTCCATGACTAGGCACAAAGTTTGATGATCCATTATTATGATAATTAGCTACCATCTGTCCAATCAGATCTGGCTGTGGAGATGGAGTACTGAAATAAAAAAATAAACAAATTATATAATATCTATAAAATAAGTGTTTCTGGTTTATTGTCTTGCCCTTTACAATAAACACACTTTACCTGAACATCTCTTACCACCTTCTAAGAAAAGAAAGAAGCACAGGTACGTTTCACTAACAGAATAAGTAAGACAATTGGATAACTTTACTTGATAAATTCATAATCCCCCACAAACCCAATCCAAATTCCCCGAAACTCTGAGTTCCTTATGATGTGTTTAAGAGTTGGGTAAAAATTTTAAGAATGTAAATTATCTTTTTTATTAATGTTTAGCTAGCACATATATAATACAAGGTACAGGAGTGATTAGAATCAAAAGGTTTTGTTTAATCAGTGTTTACTCTGGTTCTATCTCAGCTATACCAATGACAGATCCGGGTTAGTTTTTTTGTTATTATATTTAGTTATGCAATAAATAGCTGGATAACAAAATCTCATACAGGATAAATACAAAGCAATACTTAAATAAGCTAAAAAATAATATGAGTAAAACCTAGTTAAAGGCATTCTCCATACTTTTGGATACATTTTTAATTTTTTTTATTGTTTGCTATTAAGACTTGTATGTACCTCCTAGATTTACATGAAGAGTCAACTCACTTGTCTCCCAAATTAAATAAAACAGGTCCATGGCCATTATTAGGACTAGCAGATTCAGGTGTCATGGAGGTTCCGTTCGTGTGATTGACTCGACTTAATCCAACGCGACTTAAAGATCCTTGGCTACCCATTCCATGCTTTTTATGCGACTGTAGACCAATAGTGTGATGACCTTTAAAAAGAAGTTGAATCATTAAAAAAAAATTGCAAGTTGAAATTCATACTGAAGTTATAAATAGGATTGATGAAGCATTAAAGCCAAGTGAAATTCATACTGAAATTGTAAATAGGATTGATGAAAGGCAAGTGGAATTCATACTGAAATTTCAAATAGGATTTTGCAGGTCAAGTGTAATTTGAACTCTAATCCGCTCTGTTCTCCTAGTAACAAGGGACTTGCTGAACATGAAAGCTGTGGATGATATTTCACAGTTACGAGTTCAGATCACCAATCGTCTTTTGACCAGAATGAAAATGATGACAGCACTAACATTAAATGTGTCCACACTATTTTCGGACTAACTCAAGCAATGGAAACTTGAGGCTAAAGAGATAAAAGAGAATCCAAATATATGGGTATCCCATGACATGTCACATTACGATAACCCACAAACAGCCCAAGTAGATCTGCTGTTCAAACAATACAATTTGTTGGCTTAGTGTAAAATGCCTTAAAGACCTGTGTGAGTAAAAATAATGAGAGCTGTTTATTATCCAACTGTATATCATATATAGATCTAAATAATAAAATTGCAAGAGCTCTTAGATTTGTGTTAAAATAAACAAAAAAAAATGACCATTTGATGTTTTAGGAAAATTCATATAGACACTATTTTACTAACATCAGAGTCCCTTAAGTTAAACTTTTTTGGACACATCTGGTGTTTATAATGCTGAAATATGATCAAATTCTAATAATATAATAATTCATATGGTACATCCATAACCCTAAATTATTAATCGAAGCATGCAGTAGCAGCATACCTCAAAAGACAATGGTTATAAATAATGCTAAACCAAGTCCAAATACAGGAGAGATTATTTTGTCATTCTAAAAAAAGAAAAACCCTGGAAATCATATCCGATGATTCGTCATTTGAAACGATGCTTGGTGTTAGTAATAAAAGAGGTATGAAAGAAAACATCCTTCGTGTGATATCATTGTTTATAATTAGGCCGTGTCTATGATTATATGTATATAAATAATAGTATTATATCATTAACATAAGACAGACAAAGATTGAATTCGATCAGGGCTCTCGTTTCTCTCCTATTTGCCAATCCTAATTATCTAAAAGTCTACACAAGAACATTCTTTTCTCCACAGGTCAAAAATGAAAATAACTGAACCAAAAGAAATAACAAAATATTCACTAAAAGACAGCCATTTGGATGGCCAACATTTCTGGCCAATCACTGGTGAACAAAATTTTGTAATTTTTAATGACTAATATGAGACTAGAACCCTGATGTACTGTAGACATGACATAAATAATCTGAAAATAACACATCGAAATAATAACTCAAATCTAACAAAATTAAAATAAAAATATATCACAGAAAAACACCATACTTTCTGCTATCTTTAGCTAGAAACTATTTTTTATACTCTGAAAAAATCACACTACTGAATTGCTGACTAACTCAATTCAATTTTTAACCAGACTCGCCAGACTCATATCTTTTGGCAATTCTTGGTTACCGGTACATAAAAATATTTTGCTGTGCTTACAGAAAATATGTATTCCCAATGTAAAATAAATGAGGGACAATGTACAGTACACATCATGTCTTTTTAATCTGGATTTGAGATTCATGCTAGCATGAGGTGCCCAATAACATTGGAAAATAAGGCTATAAGAGAAATCATTCAAAATCATAAAAAAAAAAAAGAACCAGCGTAAGAAGTTGTATCTTTATGTATCAAGCAAGCGTATGTGGGTTTCCAATTCTACAGTCACAAACAACTATATGGATTCTCTATGCCAAGGGGAGGTAACACACATCTTACTTTTAGAACGAGTGGTTTTATACTTTGGAGGAGTTAAAATGTCTCCACATAGAGATTGAGAACGAAATTTATTACACTTTCTGTCTGTCACTGAAAGATAAAGATAATAAACTGACATACATTGACAAAGAAATTTCTACTCCATATTAAACTTTACAAATAAAATAATAATTTCTATTATTTAAAGTCTCTTTGTGACATTTTTGGGGAAAATATTAAAATTTCCCAGCTTTATCCACGTTAAAATCTACTTAAATTGATTATTGGACATCGGATTAAGAAGAGACCCATCACAAGATTGTAGCAAAGATTACAGACGGTGCTGGTATGTGCTCATATCCCGTTTACATCGTCTCCATTTTCAATTCATCATAAATCCAAATGAAAAACTGATATTCCTATTAGAGATTCATCTCTGACAATACTGTAGTTTCAAATGACATTCAGAGACTTCAATTCAAAACAAATTTGATGTAGTTGTATAGAACGTATTTCGTGTAGTGCTGTATGAAAAAATAAAACAAAAAAAAAAACCAAAAAATAAATGTAAATTTGTACACGTCAAGTGTATTTTTGATTACACCAAATCATTCTAACTCTTTCTCCAATGTTTAGTGGCGGCTATTGCTTAATGGATGTCAATCTGGGCTGTAGTCAGAAAAAATATGTTCATTTACTGGGGATTAAAAAAAGAATCAAGGGAAAATTTTGCTTCCTTTCATGATTGAGAAAAAAAGAACATGGGAAGCTAAACCTCTTTGATCTGTCCATCAATCCTTCAAGGGAGTATAAAATCGGAAAATCACAAAGATAATTCCTAGAGATAAGAGTTGGAATGATTTGGACATGGTTTTGACATCAATGACATTTAATAAAACTGTTAAATGAAAACTTAGATTGACAGTGAAAGCTTTAAAATTCAAAACAAAACAGCCAAACATATCCCAAAGCTCTGTGCACTTTGTAATGAAACTGTACAATTGCTTTCTACATGCCTCATGTTCTACACATAACTAACAGATCCAGATTGGATCATCAACCATTCTTCCACCTCGAACTGTTATTATATAATCTTGCCAGACATAATTTAAAAAAATAACTGTATTTGTAAAATCGGTAGAAAAATGTTTCATGCTGCTTTGTTTTGGACGATTTTCAGTCAATCGTGTGCAGAACATGAGGTACATAGAAAGTGTTATGCTGTGTTTCTGCATAATAAATAAAAAGCTTTACTAACAATCAGCAGAAACTTGAATGAAAAATAAAATGTTAGATGAAATATGATGCTTTGAATACTCAAAAAATAAAAATGCTTTCAGGCGCATGACATGCATTGGCCACTGAACAATAAAGCTATACAAAATGCTAAATGATTTGATTATGTCGAAGATGAACCAGCGGCTGCCAGGCAGGATACGCCCACATTTTCGAGAGATGGATAGAGAACAAGCTAAAAAGAAAGTGATTTTTCGTACAATCAGAGGCCATAATTCAGGAAGTTACGGTCCGATATGCGCGAATATCGAAAGGAACCGAGATCTTTGGGTTATAAACTTACATATCAAGTTTCAACATAATCGGATAAAAATTGTGACCTCTATAGGTTCCACAACCTTGATATACCATATTTTTACGCTATTTGAGAACGAAGGGCGGCCATTTTGTCTGTCAGTTTTAGACCGATTTTTACGAAATTCGAACTCAGTCGTCCTTAAGGTCTAAAGGTGATATAATAATACGTTTTTTTAAATCGGATAAAAATTATGACCTCTATTAGTAAGTGCAGGGGGACTGCACCACACAAAATTTACACAAAGACAAATACACGGACAAGACATCATACTCAGGAAAACACAAACATACAGACAATTCAAAAAAAAAAAAAGAAAAAAAAAAAGAAGCTAAAATTGCGATTTTTCGTACAATCAGGGGCCATAATTCAGGAAGTTACGTTCCGATATGCGCGATAATCGAAAGGAACCAAGATCTTTGGGTTATAAACTTACATTTCAAGTTTCATCAAAATAGGATTAAAATTGTGACCTCTATAGGGTTCACAACCTTGATATACCATATTTTTAAGCTATTTGAGAACGAAGGGCGGCCATTTTGTCTGTCAGTTTTGGGCCGATTCTCACAAAATTCGAACTTAACCACCCTTAGGGTGTAACGGGGTTATAATAATACGTTTTTTTAAATCGGATAAAAATTATGACCTCTATAGGGTCCACAAGCTAAAAACACGATTTTTCGTACAATCAGGGGCCATAATTCAGGAATTTACGGTCCGATATGCGCGCGAATATCGAGAGGAACCATGATCTTTGGGTTATAAACTTACATTTCAAGTTTCAAAAACATCGGATAAAAATTATGACCTCTATAGGGTCCACAACCTTGATATACCATATTTTTACGCTATTTGAGAACGAGGGGCAGCCATTTTGTCTGTCAGTTTTGGGCCGATTTTCAGGAAATTCAAACTCAGTCGTCCTTAGGGTGTAACGGTGATATAATAATACGTTTTTTTTAAATCGGATAAAAATTTCATGTCCGACATTTTTTCCCGAAAATAAAGGGGCATAACTCTTACCGTAATTTAAGCAGACGTTTTCAAAACAGAGTTAAGAATCATGTGTCAACAAAATATATACAAATTCATATGTAAAAAAAAAAATAGGTGCACCTCGTTATATTTCATGTTTAAAACCCGTACGGTATTCAAATTTATGTCAATAATATTCCTACAAAATTACATGACATCGTAATACTATAGAATTGGCAGCGTGCCGACTGCTGCCGATCTGTTTCAAACTCCCCCAAAATTTACCGTATTTTTCGGGTCATACGTCGGTACATTTTTCAGCAAAGTCCGACATTCGTCTGATACTCCGTTTCGATTTATATACGGAAGGTAAAAAAATGACATCCCGAAATTTATTTGGCTGTAAACCGTAGTTAACGACGCCCTAATGAGCGAGTATAACCAACTTCTAAATAATTGCATTCGACTGTAGCACGCGCTATCGTCTAAAACAATTAACTACTTACGTCATTCCACTCGAAATATTCATCAACATTTCTTAGCGTGTTTATTTATTTATTTAAAGACATAAACCCCCTTCAAAATATGATCATAAATCCGACAATATGTTATCAAAATAGAATCTTTTCTCGAACATCAGGCGTATTGGATTCAGCATGTATACATCTCTTAATTTCACGTGTCTCGCGAGATTTGTACTTTCATTTTAATTATTGAACTCTATAAGCGCCATGTGTGTGAAATATCTTTAATTACCTTCGGCTTCCACCGAAAATATATCACAGACAAGTTATCGGATACAATGTATGTTGATTTGAGGTGTTATATACTATCAGGATATGTGACATATATGACTAATTTCTACGTGTTATTGTCCGACACAAAGGAGATTAAAACGTGAGACAATGGTCAATGGAGAAATCACGGTTTAATCAGATTAAGTTTCTAATCACTCTTATTGGATTGATATATCGTCCGACAAAGGAGAAGCAATGACTTCTGTTCAGGATTGATTTGATGAATTGTCCGATAAAGAATTAGTTCAGCCAATCAAGGCAGAATAGTAGTTAATCAAGGTAGGTGTGTAAGACGATATAACACGATAAATAGTCGATCACTTAATTACCTAATCAATCCAGCCTAATTATCAACGATAATCGGGTTGCACGGTAGTTATACACTCAGTACACTATATTAATTTTGGAATTTGAATATTATTCACCATGTCTTGATGTCTGATTGGGCATATTCCCGGTCGGACAATTTTGGGCGTTTTGAAAAAAGATTCGGACAAGTCCGGAATATATGGGTAAAATCCCATCACTGGTCCACAAGCTAAAAACGCAATTTTTCATACAATCAGGGGCCATAATTCAGGAAGTTACGGTCAGATATGCGTGAATATCGAAAGGACCCGAGATCTTTGGGATATAAACATACATTTCAAGTTTCAACAAAATCAGATAAAGATAGGTTGCCAGGCAACGAAACATACGCCCACAGCAGCTAAATCGTCTGGGCAGTCAACAAGAGTTGTCGCATATTTTTACTTTTTTCGGTAATGAAACATTTATAATACACTAAAATCTGATTAAGAGCAACAACTCAGAAAACCATTAGAATTTGTTTGGTTTTTATAAAGTTCTGCCCCATGCTAACGTTTTGTATACAAAACTTTTAATACTGTATCATGAATTTAGCTGTTCCAAGTCATAAAAATTCATTTAAAATCAATATACTTGTTCGTCTCAAGATCTTAAACTCTGTGTATCAATCTGCAGTCAATCGGATATTAACTTTGGCCTCTAGAGCGTCCACAAGATTTTTCAAAGGGATCAAGGGCCATAACTTTGGCAGTAATTATCAGAAATCTTTGAAAATCAATAGGATTCTTCGCCTGGTGACCTCAAACACTGTGTATAAATTTAAAGTCAATCAGATATTAACTTTAGCCTTTAGAGCATCCACAAGGTTTTTTGAAGTGATCAAGGGCCATAACTCTGGCAGTAATTATCGAAAATCACTGAAAATGAATAGACTTCTTCGCCTCGTGACCTCAAACACTGTGTATAAATTTAAAATCAATCTGATATTAACTTTGGCCTCTAGAGCGTCCACAAGATTCTTTGAAGTGATCAAGGGCCATAACTCTGGCAGTAATTATCGGAAATAGCTAAAAATCAATAGGCTTATTCGTCTCATGACCTAAAACACTGTGTATAAATTTAAAGTCAATCTGATATTAACTTTCGCCTCTAGAGCGTCCACAAGATTTTTTGAAGTGATCAAGGGCCTTAACTCTGGCAGTAATTATCGGAAATCGCTGAAAATCAATAGGCTTTTTCGTCTCATGGCCTTAAACACTGTATTTCAATGTGGGCGTATAAAAATTGTGACCTCTATAGGGCCCACAACCTTGATATACCATATTTTTACGCTATTTGAGAACGAACGGCGGCCATTTTGTCTGTCAGTTTTGGGCCGATTTTCACGAAATTCGAACTCAACCGTCCTTAGGGTTTAACGGTGATATAATAATACGTTTTTTTAAATCGGATAAAAATTATGACCTCTATAGGGTCCACAAGCTAAAAACGCGATTTTTCGTACAATCAGGGGCCATAATTCAGATAGTTATGTTCAGATATGCGCGTATATCTAAAGGAACCGAGATCTTTGGGTTATAATCATACATTTCAAGTTTAAAATAAATCGGATAAAAATTGTGACCTCTACAGTGTTCACAAGCTAAAAACATGATTTTTCGTACAATCAGGGGCCATAATCCATGAAGTTACAGTCCGATACATGCCAATATCGAAAGGAACCGAGATCTTAGGGTGATAAACCTATATTTTAAGTTTCATTGAAATCGGATAAAAATTGTCACCTGTAGACTGTTCACAAACAATTGTGGACGGACGGGGGCGACGACAATATACGTCCACATGAAAATGTGGGCGTATAAAAACAAGAGGTTCCATGGCATCAATTAAAAGGATTTGTGCATTTAAGATTGAGCTAAGTGAAGGCTTAAGACCATTTTATCATTGATTGTTACATGTATTTTCTTGATTAAATCAAACATTTTGAAAAACACCTCATAAATAAAAGTAAATTAAAGTATATTATCATCTCAACAATATTTTGTTAATATATATTTTGAAAAAATAAATTGAAAAATATCAAGATAATATGTTCTCTGCCCATGCACCACCCCAATGGGTCGAAGCAAATTCATTTGAACAAATATGAATGTTCATTATTTTCTAACATTCTCATCCATTCAAGTTATGATTAATTCATTTAATACAATTTCAAACAAATATGCATAGATAGGACAATTCTGTAATAATTAAATATGCATAGATAGGACAATTCAGTTATAATTATCAAGGAAATCAGTAGATATGACAGTTCAGTTTTAATAGGGAAAACATACAGTAGTTACCATTCTGGCTTTTTATTAATTCCACTTTGTAGATACAGAAAAAGAATAGGACAGTGATATATTTTTCGTAATCAAACAAGAAAAGAAAAATAAACAAAAGAATTTTAAAACTTATTCCTTCCTGTGCCTGTGCAAAATAAAAACAAAAGACAAAAATACATGTAATGATTCTTGCTGCTGACATCGACAACTCTTGAAAAGCTGAAATTGGACATATTTTGAATGTAACTGAAATAGTTTGTTTCAAAAAATAACATCTTACCGTACAATTTTGCTTCAATTTGCAACTGATGTTAGCATTTTAAATCCAAAATGTGTAATGAATTTATCGAAAATCTTAAATTATCTCGATGAAATAAGTTTTTCCATTAAAAAATTTTTTTATGTTTTTTTCTAATTCCATTAAAGATGCATTATGTAAGAATTTGCTAAAAAGCTGGCTGTTCTTGCCATAATAGTTAAAAAATAGATAATGAAAAATGGATATATTGAAAATTTCAGTATGTGAAGTAACGAATGTTCGAAGATTTGACCAAATGTAGCATAGATTGTTCATTATCGTAGCAATGGACACGATGTTCTAATCTACTTAAAATCGTTGCCATCAGATTGCCCAGAGAGTTGATTATGGGCTTGTCATGTTAATAAATGTTTAACAAATAATTTATATAATATTTGATGCCAAAATAAAAGATCTGCAATAAGTAGATTGAACTCTTACATAATGCATCTTTAAACCAAGAGTAGAATCTAAATATCAAACTGTTCAGTAACAATCAAAATAAATACACATGTGCTTCCACAACCAATATAGCGCAAACATTTAGCTGATTTCCCAGTTCAAACACAAAAAACATCAAATCCCAATTATATCTATATCCTAAAACATTGCTGAAATTACTTTTTGATGGTCAATTTTGTAGAAGATATTTCTAACTTTAATCTTTTGGATACAGATGGCTATGTTGTAAATCAGATGACTTTCACTTTTGTTTATGACCATTGTTAGATTTAAAATAGTTTTCATGGTTATTGTTTGGTTTTAAAATATTTGTTAGTTTTAAATTATTTTTTGGGTTATTGATTAGTTTTATGGTGATTGATAGTTATAAAATATTTTTATGGTCATTGTTTTTTTTTTTAAATATTTGTTCTGGTTACTGTTGAGTTTTAAAATATTTTTATGGTTAATTGTTATTTTTATTGTCATTGTTAGTTCTAAAATATTTTTATGGTCATTGTTATTTTTAAAATATTTGTTCTAGTTACTGTTGAATTTTAAAATATTTTTTATGGTCATTATCAGTTCTAAAATATTTGTATAGTCATTGTTCAATACTAAAATATTTGTATGGTGATCGTTCAATACTAAAATATTTTCATAATGCCTGTATAATACTACAGCATTTTTATGATCATTGTTTAAAACTAAAATATTTTCAAAACCATTTTTTAATTTTAAATTTTAATTTCCAGTATATCAGAATAATTAATAACTAATACTAACTACATGTATCAAATAAAACAAATCTAAAATATAGATGTTGATACTTTATTATGAAAGAAAGCGCATGAAGATTTTACTATTGAATAAAAGCTTCATTAACAGAAAACTAATAAAAGGTGTATAAAGCCTACAGTATTCTGTGTAAGAAAAAAATAAAAGATGGTATTTTTAGATCAATGATGCAAAGGCCACTGCAGATTTCATTTTTATCTTTCATAGCAGACATTCAATAGTTTCCTCACTGTTTATTCTGTTAGAATCCCTTTAACTTATAGTAAATTGAAATACGAAATGAAAACCTATTATATCTAAAAAAAAAAAAAAGATAAAAGTTCATAATAACACAACTTTATAGATTTACTACTACTTAGTTTAATACATGCAACGTTTCAATACTTTTACAGGTATCTTTAGTGTCTTTAAAGAACACTTTATCAACTTTCACTGTAATTAAATCTTATGGTTCAGACTCTTTATTCATCCATATATGAAATAAATTCTCATTGTTCAATTACACCAAGATGCACAAATAATACATGCTATCGGATGAGATAACACATTCATAACGCAATATGAAACATAAAGATGTTTTCTGTTTAAATAGTAATTCTTTCCTTGCTATGTTCTTACATCAATTGGCTTTTTCTATCCATTGTCCTGTTGTGCAGTTCTCTTGAATTATCTAAAGTTAGTACAATATTGAATAAGCAGTCTCAATCCTTCCAAACCAAACATTCTCCACTACATTGGAGTTACCATGTACACAATTGATGCTTTGTTGTCCAGACCAATATTTGATGCAGCAAAAGTGGAGATACTTTGGTCTGGACTGCCTAAGGCTAACATTAAAGAAGCATTTAACTAATACACGGTGATGAGTAACTACTTGAATAATACTAATGAATTAAGAAGGTTTAGAATATTAATTTTAATTTACCTACATCATTAAAACTAATTATGGGTTAAAAGTTTTAACCTTTTAGTAAGTTAACAATCGGTATCTAGATGTATTGTTTCTAGCAGTTAATTTTTTTTCTTTTATGAAGCATTCAACAATGTTTTAAGGGAGACAATCTTCAAAACAAAAAAGAGATAGTTGTAGAATCCAGGCTGTCAGAAGAGGTTTTGATAACTTAAAGATATAACACTACCTGAAAATGTTTTTGGTCGTATAATAAAGCCGTTACATGACTTACTGCTGCTTAATAATGCTGTGAGGGAAATAATAAAAATACTGGTTAATCTCATCTTCATCAAGACCAATAACTCTATGGGGATACTGCTGCCATGAATGTTCTGGAATTTAATTCTCATTCTATCCCCCTCCCCAAAACTGTAAGAATCAAGTAATCATGGGAAGTTTGGGGAGAGAGAAATGGGTTTTAACTTCCACTTAACACTATCTATGTCATTTCAGGGCAAACATATTGTATATATTTGATTTTAATTCAAATATACCATAACACGTAGGTATTTTTAGAATTGGAAGGAATCCAATTAGATTAAGCATGGTTATTGTCAGGTACATGCCTGTGAGAACTAATGGCTTATATAGAACAGATTTTATGATTTCAGCACTCATGATTGGTGACAAAGAATTCAGTACCTGAATTAGAAAATATCTCCATCGATCAGTTGGATTGTTAGTCGAGTACCCCCATAGAGTTTAATAAAGCCTACTCAAGATACTCATTTTCCAAACAACCCACAAGTAACCCTACAAGTACCTCATCTACAATTTAGTAATGTCATATTTGTCATGATTTTCAAGAACTGAAAGTATGATTTGAATAGCCAGAAAATAGGCTAGCTTTAAAGCCACTGATTGTCATTTGAAATTTTCAGACAACATCTAAATGTTCACAGCTTAATCCAAGCTAAAATGTACAAAGTTGATTATCTAACAAAACCAAAATATCAATGATAGATAATCCCCCGGGTTGGATTCACTCAGATTATAAACAAGTCTAAATTTTTGGTCTGATATCCCTTTTAACTTTCACAGTATTGATATCACAATAGGGATTCAAAATGTCTCAAATGACGACCAGCTGCTTTAAGTTGATAGATGAAAACTAGACACACATAGTTAGTACAGAAAATAATATTGAAACATCACCCATAAAAAATTAGTGTTATATTTGTTTTAGTAGAACAGCCATACTTTTATAAATATTTCGAAACCCAAGAATTTAATTTTGATAATAAACCAACCTGCTGGGTATGATGGCGGCAAATCTTCATCAGCATCATCAACACCAACCGGGCCTAGATTAGCTGCCCGTAATGCTCCATATTGTCCTGTAAATAATAAATGGTACAATGATGACATAATAATAAGCTGACAACCAATTTTTGAATGCAACAAGATTATTATCACTCTTTGTCTGTACAATACAGGTTTGTAGTATTATTACCCCCTTTTTACCACTCATCTCTTGAAATCTTTCAACAAGTTCCAACTTGGAACAAAACCAAACAACACAACAGTTACACCAGAAAGACACAAAAATTAAATGTATAATTTGAGTGTTGAATCTGTAAAAGTACTGCTTCCTCACCTTTATATGTAACAATACACATTAAAACACCAACCAAGTTTAGGTCTTAAAAAACCTACATAAAGGGTAGAATTGAAATGGGGTTAAACATCCTACTGTTCTGCTCCGACTGGGCAATGAGGACGGGCATATGCTATACGGGAAATTTTTCCCAGATAGCGGTGCTACGGCCAACTCTTATCGAATTCCAACTGCCTGGGGATCTTTTATGTGCACGCCAATGTGTAAATGGGACCTCGTTTTTTTGTCCCATCTGAATGAGTAGACTGCTGTCCCCGTTCTGTACCACTGACAAGGGGAAACCATGCCAGAAAATCTTGATGAACTTTCTCTGCCAACACCTGGATCAAACCTCCCAAGTAACTAGTTAGCAAGCCAGCGTCTTACTCACTTAGACACTGTGGCGCCCCATAAAGGGCAGGCATGATGATTAACACAGTGGTTACACAGACCATTGTTGTATTTGCTAAGGGCCCCCATAACAATAAAAGCTTCAGGGCTCCAAAAATGTAGGTCTATCACTGTGTATATTTAAGCCAAGTGTGCTTTGTGAAAGCTGGTTTTTGTGTAAGAGGAGGACATCAGAGAAAAATGATGACAATAGGCAGGGATCAAGCTCGCAAGTGGCATATAACAGACATAGCAATGCTTGACCACCCAAACCCACTATTCTAGAGCATTGTAAAATGTAAATAAAGTACTTACCTTGACTAACTTCTCTTTCTAATAGTTGTTTTAAAGTTGGCATACCTGGGTTTGTCATGATAGGAAAACCACACATCTGTTCTATAGCTGACCATCTCTGTAATCTTTCTTGTAAATCATTCTTTACTTCAGCTAGTGAGGCCCTGAAAACATAGTTTTTATTGAACAGTTACCAGCTCACTATGCTATAGACTTGCAACCAAGCATGACGTCAATCAGTGTGCAATTGTCCAAGGAATATGCATGTCAAATTTCATGTCGATCGATTTTTGGCATATGTATTGACTTACAGGTAAGTTTTACAGCTCATCAATTTCACTCCCTGTCAGTCATGACTGGAAAATATGATTGAAATGAGAACTCTGGTATAAACAGTCACAACACAACATGGTGGGCCTACTATATATTATATAAACAGTCATAACACCACATGTTGGGCCTACTATATATAATTTGTCTTGTGTATTACAGATAATACCATAATGGCCATTCTATATTGAACTCCCGCGTCTTATATCTGGTTAGTTGCAGCTAATTTTGATGGCAAATTTATTGATTGAGAGATATAAGGAGCCTATTTAAATAAGTGTTGAAAATACTTACCTAGCATTTAAAATTTGTTGATCGATATCATCTAATGAAGTACTATGAGCCATTCGTAATGATCCAAAGAAAGCTTTGTTTCTTTTCTTAATTCTTTCACACTGTAATAAATTAATAGACATACGTAATAACTGTCAATAAACACAGGCTAAAATATAGGTTGGCATGCAACAAAACATGTGCCTACAGCAGCTAAATCTTCCGAGCAGTCAACAAGAGTGGTTACATATCATTCTTTTTGTAGGAGATATGAGCATTTACAAGACACTGATATCAATTTCATACAGATCGGATGACAACTTTTGTCGTTGGAGTGTTCACATGGTCTAACAAAAGTGAAACAAGGGCCATAACTCTAGAAATAATTAACAAAAATTGCTAAAATTCTATAAGCTTCTTCATTTTCCTAATTCAAATAATGCGCATAAATTTAATATATATCGGATGATAACTTTTGTTGTTACAGTGTTCACAAGGTTTCACACATTAAAACAAGGGTTATTACTCTGGAAGTAATTAATGGAAATTTTTTTAATTAAATAACCTATAACCTTCTCTGTCCCACTAATGTCAACAACAACTATCAATTCAATGATGCATTATGTAAGATTGCAATAAACAGCTGACAGTTCTTGCTATATAGTTAAAAACAGATAATGAAAAGGGAATATTTTCAAAATTCTAGTCAAATTACTTCATTCTGAGATGAGTTATGGTCTTTTAAAGAACAGTGTAGTCTCGATTATCATTGTTACTGTTGCTACAATAATAAACAAAGTCTCTATTATCCACTTTTTTTCATAAAAGTATTAACTGACACTCATGTTTAAATCCGTTGAAAATCAAAACCGTCTGATAGTCCAGAGTGTTGATTATCAGCTTGGCATGCGAATAAATTAGGCAGATTTAGCTCTTAACATAATGCATTTTAATACAGATTGGATAATAAATGTAGTCTGAAGACGATGGACAGACGACATTATACAACAATATACAACCACATTTCCATATTTTCTAACATCTTCTCTTGCCAAGAAATAACTAATTTTGTCAGGTTCACTTTTTAAGATTTTTCACATTTTAATTTCAGTTTATCGGTTCTAGGTTAATTATTTATTGCCTGATTTGTATAAAAGAAAAGCTCATATGCAATTTTGCATGATTCACTTTTCATGTTATTTTGCCTGTAAAAAGAGTCAATGATTATTGAATTTTCATAAAAGTGACACCATTTGATGCATAATGTCACTTTTGACTAGGTCAAAGCAATTTAACATTTTCACTGTCACCGGAAATCGGGACATTTGGACAAAAACTGTATTTTTAGCCTTAAAATTATATATTTTATTCAACTGAGCCGTATTTGTTTTTTATTTATAATTAAGATATTACATTCCTCCAATCAACAAATAGAATGATCCCATGCGGTTATATAGGCATCACAAAATGGTTTCTAACTTGTTCAGTTGCGAGAAAATAGACGATTTTCTACAAGTCACTTTTCAATGTACTTGGTCCATAACTGCATCACAGTTTTAGTTCAATCTTATTTTAGCAGAACAGCCTCATGAATTGGGAAGAAATACCCTACCAATGTTTCAGTCAATGTAGGGCGGCCATTTAAATTCAATACAAACAGTTCTTTAATAAATTATATATATGTCTGATAAGTGCAAAAATACATTTTTTTTTTTCATCTCAAATTTAATGAATGTAGCAGATGTTTTGAATACAATCCAAAATATCTATGCGTTTCATGCCTAGTAATTTTCTTTTATATAAATAAAAATCATAGAGATTAAGAACTGTTGTACCTAAATATACATTGTATGTTTGGAATTTGCCAAATGAATATTTCAATAGCTCAGAGTTATGGCCCCACATGGCAGAATAAAGTCTATATATACAGTTTTTAAAAGACCGTTCACACAATCATACATACAGTTTTGGACCAAAATTATTCCGATCAATCACTTTAGTTACATTGTATAGCTAGTTATACTGTTTGAAATGGAAACCAGCGGCTGCCAGGCAGGATACGCCCACATTTTCGAGAGATGGATAGAGAACAAGCTAACAAGAAAGTGATTTTTCCTACTATCAAGGGCAATAATTCAGGAAATTACAATTCAATATGCGCGAATATAAAAAGGAACTGAGATCTTTGTGTTATAAACTTACATTTCAAGTTTCAACAAAATCGGATAAAAATTGTGACCTCTATAGGGTCCACAACCTTGATATACCATATTTTTACGCTATTTGAGAACGAACGGCGGCCATTTTGTCTGTCAATTTTGGGCCGATTTTCACGAAATTCGAAGTCAACCTTCCTTAGGGTGTAACGGTGATATAATAATACGTTTTTTTAAATCGGATAAAAATTATGACCTCTATAGGGTCCACAAGGTAAAAAACGCGATTTTTTCGTACAATCAGGGGCCATAATTCAGGAAGTTACGGCCCGATATGCGCGAATATAAAAAGGAACCGAGATCTTTGGGTTATAAACTTACATTTCAATTTTCAACAAAATCGGATAAAAATTGTGACCTCTATAGGGTCCACAACCTTGATATACCATATTTTTATGCTATTTGAGAACGAATGGCGGCCATTTTGTCTGTCAATTTTGGGCCGATTTTCACGAAATTCAAACTCAACCTTCCTTAGGGTGTAACGGTGATATAATAATACGGTTTTTTAAATCGGATAAAAATTATGACCTCTATAGGGTCAACAAGCTAAAAACGCGATTTTTCGTACAATCAGGGTCCATAATTCAGGAAGTTACGGTCCGATATGCGCGAATATCGAAAGGAACCAAGATCTTTGGGTTATAAACTTACATTTCAAGTTTCAAAAAAATTGGATAAAAATTGTGACCTCTATAGGGTCCACGCGCGAATATCGAAAGGAACCAAGATCTTTGGGTTATAAACTTACATTTCAAGTTTCAAAAAAATCGGATAAAAATTGTGACCTCTATAGGTTCCACAAGCTAAAAACATGATTTTTCGTACAATCAGGGGCCATAATCCATGAAGTTTCGATCCGATACATGCCAATATCGAAAGCAGCCGAGATCTTTTGGGGATAAACCAATATTTCAAGTTTCGTTAAAATCAAATAAGAATTGTGACCTGTAGAGAGTCCACAAACAATTGTGGACGGACGGACAGAGGCGATGGCATAATACGTCCACATGAAAATGTGGGCGTATAAAAATAAATCTATCTGTTTGAACCACATTAATTCATCATTATCACAAACTTTATGTATTTCATTTCTGCTGACAAAAGCATAAATGTCAACAATAGATCCATTTTAATAGGTTTTACTTTTTTTTTTTACTGATAATGCGATATTTCTCACGAGCCAAAAAATGACAAATAGGCTTAAAATAAAATCATGTCACTCCTACACAAGCCAAAAACTGTTATCAAATCACATGGTTTGATTTTATTACAAAAGCACAATAAAAATATGTTCACAATGGGAACTAATCACATACAGTAATATGGATGATTTGGAGTACTGTTTAAAATATAATCCTGAATTTATCCATATAAAATGGCACATTCTGATAAAAATTGTTAATATAACTGATCAAAAGCTTAATGTGTGAGGTAATAAGATTGCACCCCTCAAACCCTTCTCAGCAAATGAGACAATGTATCAGGTATTCTACAAAATCACTCCTTCAGATCAAAATTGGTCACATGAAAATGGAGAAAACTAAAAGTCAGCATGTGATGGAGTAATAAGTTAATCAATAGAGTATGTATACATGAGCACACAAATTTCTATCTACTGAACAGATTCTTAATGTTATGCTGTAGGATTAAAAAACTGAAAATAACTCACATTTTCTTTGGTTGACTGTAGTTGAAGTTCGGCTGCATGACGTTTAGCGTTAAAATGAATCTGTTCCACTTCAAAAGTATATTGTAGCCAGCACTGTAACTGTGATGGTGCAGACCATTTACTCTCGTGTTCAAGTTCTTTCTCAGCTCGACGCAAGGCAGAGCGGACCTGTTCTAACTCCGCCTCTGCTATCTTAAAACGTGATATTTCTTCTGCTGTCTCTTCATGTGGCTCCTAAAATTATTTTTAAAAATTGGAGTAAATAAATAAATATTAATACTTTAAATCATTTAACTGCATCAATATAAATTAAAATCTGTCCTACATGAAAGAATCTTTGAGTCGCATTCCTAGACAAAGACAGTGATGTTGCTCTGAATGCAATAGGCATTGCTATTATTCCTGACACATAGATCTTTCAGGCACCAATAGGCCATAAATTTCACATTAATACTTGTTCAGGTTATGCAAACATAATAACTGCAGAATATTTCCACAAAAGTAAATTAAACAAACATAAATGCATTCATAAGAATATAAGTTTGTATACTACCCCTTTTTAGTATGTACATATATGTCTTTTTTTATCTGTATGTGTGTGTCCCTTTAATAATTTTTGCTAGCTTCAGTAATTAAAATGGACAACTATGTTATTTCTTTAACATCATCCTCACGATTAATAGCCAAGTCAGTTAGGCGGTGTTGAATTGGAACTATGTTTCTTGTCGCCCGCCCGCTTAGGATCAGGGGGTCTATTTTCGGCCGCATTGCTTTTCAACACAAAAGGTTTTGAAGTTTTATTTGAATGTTTCCGTCATTTTTAACAATTATTTTAGAAATAATTTACCTCGTATTTAGTCTCGTTTATCAATATTTACCATTACCGCCTAAAGAAAATTACCAGTGCGGTCTGTTGCCGTGTTTAATACAGAGCGATATAACAGTCGATTTCGTTGGCTGATAGTTGCAATTTACGTAAATTTGATGCATTCATGACCATTTTGCCCTATTTCCTCTAAAACTATTCATATAAATCTAAAAACAAAAGGTATTTCACGAGTGAAATTCTCGGCTTTCACTCGTTAAACAGCGACCATGTTTTTTCATACCTAATGAAGTTATTTTAAGAATACGTTGTTTGATTGGTCGGTCGCTAAGGTCAATGGCTAAAGTGCCCAATCAGAAACAAGCAATCCTCCAGGTCGGGTCATTACGCATGCGCACTGAGTTGATGTCCCAGATATCCTTTCTCGTCGGTTTATCATTAATATTATTCATCAATACGTCCTTGTTTGTCGATATTTTTTGAAGATTTTCAGATAAAATGGCTTTACAAAAGTTTAGATCACTCAATAAGTTTGACAGACACCCATAATACTCAAAATAATAGTAATATCATTACTAAGTTCTGTTGTTTTGAATAACATTTATGTCACTGTCAGTCAAAGTTACATGTATGTGTTGTAAATTTACAGTCAAGTCAAGAAATAAAATAAGCCAAATATTGTATAATTTATAATACATTGTAGATAAGAAATACATTTATATGAAAAGTCATTTTATTAAAATAAAATAAATCAATTGAACAGATCTGCCTAACAGATCTCAAATTAGTTTTTTTTTCTACAGTTAACAACTTAAGTCATGTTATACATGGATGTCTGAAAGTTAGGGTCAGATTTTATTGAAACTTGGAACAACTTCCTATATAATATACTGACTTTGTGTCAATTTTATTGAAATCTGCAAAATAGTTGCTGAGATATTGCACCAAGTAAAACAATTAATGATGAATATTATGTGCCAATTGTTTGTTGAATCAAAAGGTTAATTTTGTTCTTTTCTTAATTAATATAGTAGGGGATGTTGGTCAAACCAACTGTTATTTGGATATGACATTCAAGTTTGGGAAAGTATTACAGACAACATTTGTATTCTACCTCATTGTTTCATTCTTTTAAATGATAAATTTGCCATGTAGGCTATTATATAACCTCATTTCTGGGTAGAATAAGAATGAAAATGGTGGTTTGTGTTGGTTTGTACACTTTGTGTTGAAAAATACGCTTTGTGTTGTGTTTGCCTCACACCCTCATTGGATTGTCTCGAAGGTAGTGACAAGAAACATAGTTTCAATTCAACACAGCCTTATCAACAATCGAAAGGTTAATTGAGGAATTTGTGTAAACGATCTGCGTATGGTAACTTAATGGCTCACTGACCAATTATGTGAACCTGTGACATAAATGAAACCTAATGAAATGGGGTTTAACGTCCTACTGTTCTGCTCCAACTAGGCTAATGAAAATGGGTGAACCTGTGACATTAAAGCCCCCAAATTAAACTGTGGTAATATTCATGGTACATCAAAGATTGCATTAATGTTTCCTTATTATTTTTTCGTTGGTTCCTCATGTATTTTTCCATGATGTTTTTCCTTGTGCATTTCTCAATTATGTTTCTCCTTGTGCATTTTTGAATGTTGTTTCATTGTGTTTATTTCAACATTTAATTTTTTATGTTTATTTCACTGATTATTTCTTTGTGTTTATTTCAATGATCATTTATTTGTGTTTATTTCAATGCTGTTTCCTTATGTTTATTTCAATGCTGTTTCCCCTGGTATATTTTATGCATAATTCAGATAATAACTAGGTAATTAAATATCTTTGATTTAGATAAATTATGATTTAGATCAATTAAAGTATTAAATTAGCTTAATGAGATAAGTTATTATGATTAGTGATTGAACAAGCTCTACACGTTCAAATTTTTATTTCTAAAGATTATGCGAATGTCACTTTATTCACTAATTTTGCTCTATATTATAATTTCCTGCATGTACCTTATGACATGTTGCCAGTGGAACCCAAAATCAATTATATCTCAACACTGACTTAATCTACGAAATTACAGAAAAACAAATTGTCATCTTACAAAACAAATCAAAACATCAAATCCAATCAAACCCACATTTTAATTGTTGATCTAAATCCAAATTCTAATTATTGTTCTAAATCCACACTTTAATTGCTGATCTTAATCAAAGATATCTAGAAATTTTAAGTCACAACATACTTTAGTTCTTGCATTGTTCATAGATGAATCTTGATAATGACCAGCTAATGATGATAAATTATCACCCTCTGTTATATGTAACCTAAATAAAATAATATAAATTCAATATTTCTAGTAAATGAAACACAAATGGAAACAATACTTGTGAAACTTAATCTAATGCATTTAGTGGCTTTGTTCATTATGATTCGACACATATCCCATTTCTTTTTGGTCTTATATTTCATTTTAGCTGAGTAGAATCTGAAAGGATTTTTAAATAAACTCCAATGAATTGGTTTGCTCTGTTGAGCTTTAGATAGAGTAGTAGAGAACAAAACAAAAGTTAAATAAGAATAGGCTATCTCATTCAGTCAAAAGTCACCCAATTCCAACTGCCAAAGGTTCTTTTATGTACATGCCAATCAGTACACAGACCCTCTGATTTTTATCAACTCTGAACAATTTGATGATATTCCTTGTCAAGTCTTTCGTCTTGAACCTTTGACATGGAGAAAACCCTATGGGACTTCCTAGTCGAACCCTGGGATGAAACCAGGAACTTAATGGATACTGCACCAGTGTCATACACACTGAACCACTGTGATTCTAAAGAGCCAAGGAAACGAATAGATACATAAATCTTACTTTTCTTGTAATTCCTGCAATGCCTCTTCTGCTTTTTGTAGAGATTCTAGATCTTTCATGAGTTTCTGGACATGCTGTTGAGAGTACCGATGATGCATGTACGCAAACCAACATCCCCCAATAGCTACCACCAGTGACGTCAACAACACCACATCTTTTACATAATTGTGAACCTCTAAAATAAACAGAAACACATGTACAACAAGTTAGAAATGAAATGAAATGGAGTTTACTGTTAGACCCATGAATCAAAAATGTACATTTTATATTTAAAGGCCAAGTTGGTTTGTAACATGCAATTATCTTTAATAAATGGTGAAGATAAAATGTATTAGCTTTGTAGTTGGTATATACACTAGAACATTAGTTTTCATAAAAAGTGATGCTATAATTTCTGACACAAAAGTCATATCTCCATAGCAACCAACGACAGAGTATTTTATGTATCTATGGCAAGTTTATGTCTTTAACCACAAGGGGAAGTAGAAATAAATGAAATGGGGTTTAAAGTCCTACGGTTCTGCACCGACTGGGCTAAAGAAAACAGAAAAATAGAAATACAGTCATGCTTGAAGTAAATTATGCAGAAAACTAAACTTGGTAAAAGAGCCATTTTTATGGGTTCTTTGTCGACATCAATTAAACTAAACTTAGTAAGCAAGCTGACTTCTGCTTAATGGAATGTTATCATAACCTTAGATCATAGTCTGTTTAGGCAGAATTCTTCTTCAGTTTACACAATAGCATATCTCTTCCATTCTCAAATGTAGTTATTCATTAAATATAAATAGTATAGTGAGATGCTCATTTTAAATTCATATTAAATGATTACATCTGTATAAAAGTAGAAATGCATACATTTGAAGAAGTCCTTTTGTATTTTCAATTCGTAAGTATCTCATAACTTATTTAATACTTGAAATGCATAAAGGATATACAAGTACAGGCATTCTAAAAACAATATTTTCAATGGAATTGTTTTAAAAAATTGTCTTACTTTTTGGAGTGCCAAATAAAACTAAATCCATGGCTTTAAGAAATAATTTCTGTTTATGTACAATGTTGTTAATACCGATTACTGACATAAATGGAGATTTATTACACGCTAATCTGAAATATAGAAAAACAAAATATCAAAAACACCATTTATTGAATAAAATTTGAAATGTATGTGAAAATTTTAGATTCAAATAACATTCATTAAAACAGACACTTTTCTATTCATGGAACTTAAAACAATACATTAACAAATCTATAATAAAGCATGATGTTAAACAGGAACTTCACTATATTCACCCAAACCAGGTCATTTCAGGTTTGGCATATGTTGGTACAATTCTATTTCAATAATTCTTTATTGAGTAGGGATCTTAGCAGTGGGAAGAAATTGGAGGACCCGGACAAAACCTATGAGGTTTGAGTTTGACAGGTGACTGTAATTGCCATGTACAATCTTTGGATCAAAACCTTGCCTCTTGACTCAAGAACAGACCTTATGATCTAAATACTCCAGAAGAAAAACATTACAGATATTTTACATGATAATTGATTATAGCAGACATAATCAAGATGTATCTAGTGGTTAAATATTTGCAGAATCAATATCAAGGCTTTGGCGGCAAGGAATTTTAGTTTATATATTGAGTTTAAGTGACCAATGATTATCTGAGTATCACAGGGGGTTGGATGGCCGAATGGTTAGCGATTTGCATCATAAGGTGTGTCATTGAGTCAAATGGCGTGGTTTTGATTCTCCGGTTGTACGTGACAAGGAATAGGCTCGTCTGTCTGGGTCCTCCGGTTTCCTCCTACTGCTAAAAGACCCCTATGCATGAGTAAATTATTGAAATAAAAATTGAACCATTTGTTAGTCCTGAAATGACCTAGTTTGTGCCGAGTGGACGTTAAATCCTGTTTCTATCTCTCTCTCTCTCTCTGAGAATCAATGTCTGCTTTCTAACCGTCAATACGTAAAATTGTCTATGATATTTGCACTAAATCTTACATTATAGTGTAATATAATTGTTATTACTGTTTTACCTGGGTAGAGCCTGACCATCTATATTATTGGCTCGAAATTTTTCTGAATATTCTGGTAAATCTACATGTTCATCCAACCATACTAATACATCATCTACAGTCCAATTATACACTGAAATTACACAATTATATCTCAAATCACAAAGTTACAAACAAAGCTAACATTTAATACAAATAAAGCTAACATTTACATTACAAATAAAGCTAACATTTACATTACAAATAAAGCTAACATACAAATTACACAATTTGTAACATTCGAATTACACAATTTGTAAAATTCATATTATATAGTTCATGACATTCAAATTACACAATTTGTAACATTCAAATTATACAAATTGTATACACAGGACATAATTCTCTGGAATATAATTAATGTTTATTGACATTTCATCTAGTATTCTCTACAGCAGATAAATTAGAACAATCAAAGTATATAAATTATACCAAAATATATAAATTATACCAAAGTATATAATTATACCAATCAAAGTATATAAATTATACCAATCACTGTACATGTATATAATACTAATTGTAACTTTCCAATTAACACAAAATAACACTCCAATACCACACATAATTATTATTACACCCAATTTACCGTAAAAGAAATTATTACACTCAAATTAACTCAAATTGCAATACTCAATTACACAAATTATAACACTCATATTAACACTTAAAATTAATATCTGCCCTTGATTCTGAATCAGGCAGTTTTTAATGGCATCTAACATGCAGTTTGTTATCAGGTTTGCCAAAAGACAAATGTGGGTGCTGTTGGGTGGGAACATGTAAAGCTCCTCTACTCACCTTCAGACCCTCGCCATATTCTCCACAGATCATCAACAGTAACTAGCTTATCATTACCATGAAATTTCTGTTGTTTTTCATGGCCATCTGTCATCTGTAGCTCATCCCGTAAAAACTGAAAGTAGACAATAAAAAAACAATGAAGTTTAATCTTTTTTAACAAGAGCTATGAGCTGTTGTTTCGAGATAGAACTAATTATAGATACATGTATGGTTATGTCACTGAAGACAGGGTTGGACTGAGAATAAGCCTGTTAGTATAGTAGGCTGGAGACCCCTAAAGAAGTTTATTGATATCTCATAGTTTTGGGGGCCCTTTTTAGTCTGTGGGCCTTTTTTAGACTAGTTAAATTGGTAAGATTGCCACACACTAAATTTGTGCGCAAGCTAGAACCATGAGGATATACTCCATAAAGTCCCATTTACAGTCAGTTTTTCAAAAACATTTCCAAACACCCACCCCTGAACAGAGGGACCTCTAAGTGGGCCAGGCTTAGGAGACTCCTGACTCCAGTTTTTCATCGCCATAAAGAAAAAATTCCAATATTAAATAATATAAAATCAGCCCAACATATTCATGTCATTTTCCTTCCTTTCAGTACGACAGTAGTTTCCAAGGTGAAAATCCTTCAAGCATAATATTTTGCTAACTAAGCCACAACATAAACAGTCATATTGCCAATTCACTCTCTATTGACTCCAGATGATAAAAAATACAAACCGCAATATGATAGATCCTGTTGATCATAAAAGCACAAATTCCCGTCGAGATCTTTTTCATGGGATAGCTAACCATTTTCACAAATTCTTTAACGTAGTTATCTAAGCCAAGAAGAAATTAAGTACACACAATACATTATATACCCTTCGAGTCGTCTCCACCTACTGACGATATTCGTTAATCAAATTTGGACCATATCACAAACAATTGTGCCACAACAATAAATTCAAATCCATATTGATATATTCAAAATTCAAATGCTGCTATTTGAATAGATAAGGCAAGTTATGAAAACATTCCTGCTATTACAATAACATTAAACAATAACACACAATGCTTTAATACAAACTAATCAATATATGAAAACTAATTTGCATAACTACAATATGAATTGATAAAGAAAACTAATGTGCATAACTATAATATTAATTCATTAAAAAATGAAACATAGTTTGTGTTTTAATGTGGACATTAATTATGCAAAAGGTCTACACACCTCAGACTATCAATTTTTTATAAAAGTGTCAAATTAAAATTTCCTAAGAGAATATTCTGTGATCAATAAAGATAGATTGCCAGGTAATGAATAGGTTAAACAGTTTATGCTTCACATGTTGTTATTCCTTCTGGTCCTGGGAATTACCCCATTTGCGGCCTGTTGTGTCATGGACCGTAAAACTTTATCATAATCTTCATTAATGACAAGATTATCAACACTGATCCTAAGATCATACAAAGTCATTCTCACCATCTAATTGTTTCATTACATGAAAACTGTTACTTTTTTTCCTATATTTACTGCTGGCAATGCTAGTATTCCTCATTCATCATCTTGAAAGTGCACTATGTTAAAAGCTCGATCGGTATCTTTATAGTAACAAATAGTCTTTATAGTAACAAATAGTTTTTCCCAATAGTTGGGGTCAGTTTCCAATCAATTAGATTGTTATATCATAGACTGGTGGGTGTCTTTAAATCTTGACAATTTCAAGAGACTTAACCTGAGTTCCTGTGATCATGTGTAAAAGAACAAGAGCAAGTGATACAGGGGGCAACTGTAAAAAAAAAATGCAAACAGCAACTGGGGGGTGGGGTGGGTCTGCCAGCCGAAAAAAGTGCAAGAAAAAGTGCATTTCCGGGTAAGAAAATTGGGTGGTCTATTTAACTGAGTTCTGCAAGAAAAAAAGCATTTCCGGGTAAGAAAATTGGGTGGTCCAACTGAGTTCTGCAAGAAAAAAAGCATTTCTGGGTAAGAAAATTGGGTGGTCTAACAGAGTTCTGAAAGAAAAAAAGCATTTCCGGGTAAGAAAATTGGGTGGTCTAACAGAGTTTTGAAAGAAATAAAGCATTTCTGGGTCTTGGGTCGCTGGTAAATAAATTATGAAAGAAAATGCTATTCGAATATTTCAAATAAAATATTTTGAACGTTTGAAGATTTTTAAAAAGATTAGTAAATTAGCCTTAGTGTAACCTTTTTGACCGGTTCCAGTCGTGAATGAATTAGTTACGGCCTGTTAACCGAGACTACACAGGGATAACTCTTGGCAACAATGGTGGCTACACTTTCGAAGTTTTGATAACTTTAACATGGGTGAGTTTTTAGCCTTTATTATTTTATTTGCAGACCGTCAACACAATTTTATTGCTAGTTCTTGTTCAGAGAAGAGCAGGTCTTGCATACACCCCTCAGAATACCCTATAAAACTATGTGATGCCTAGGATTCAAGTGGTTGCTATGTATATCGTTCTTACGTGTTGTCAATCATTGTCATAGTCAATTTTAGCAAAATTTCCCGTTATCCTAGGCCCAAATCAGCTGCTATTTCACCTCCCCTAGTGACTATATTTTCAAACAATTTCTTGAGACTACTGACTCATTATCAGGCGGATCATGTTATTCAGAATTTGGGCAAACTTTGATTTAAATTGTCCACGTTAAAGTAAACACTGCAGAGTGCAAAAAAAAACAAAACAAAATTGTCCACACTGCTTAGTTACGAATAATTTATGATGCTTGTTTATGACTGATTTTCTTCTGTTTTATATATTTCAGAGATGTGTTTGGATGAAGTTTGAAAATAGTGTGATGGTCATTTGAGCAGAATTTCTTGAAGATATTTGTCAATAAAGATTTGAGTTGAGGAAGATGGCTGAGCACAAAATGAAAAAAAAGTACACTGTAATATTTATATACGCAGTTATTCGCCTTGCTAAAACAGAGGGTTGTTATATATTGTCCAATCGACAGTGACTAATCCACCAATCAAAACGCAAGATTCACCCTTAAGCATGTTACAATGCCGTGTCGATACTGTTTTTTTCCCTGTCTCGGAGGTGGTGTTTGGTAACTATGTTTTTAGGACAATTGTGATACTTAAGTGAACGGTGAACTTTGTGTCGTAAGGTGACGACTGTGATTAACTTTATAATTCCTCGGGAAAGTGAACTTTAATTTCGTGAAAACCCATGCTTTCTAACATGGCGGATCTGATCCATAGACATTGTGAACTCTGTGAAGCGTGAACTCTGTGAACCATGAACTCTGTGAACTGTGAATTCCGTGACTCGTGAACTCTAATTATTGAATTAGAACTGTCAACAAAGAAAACTGTCAACTTGTTTATGTTTGTACTGTAACTCCTGTTTCTTGTATATATGCTTATTTACATAAATATTTCAAAGCGTTATCGGGGGGGGGGGGGGGGGGGGGTTGGGTGGCCGAATGGTTAGCATGCTCGTGCTGTATCATAAGGCCTGTCATTGAGTCAACTGGCGTGGTTTCGAATCCCCGGTTGTACGTGACAAGGAGTAGGGTCGCCTGTCCAACCTCGTGGGTTTTCTCCGGGTCCTCCCATTTCCCCCCACTGCTAAAGACCTCTACGCGCAAGCGAATTATTGAAACAAAATTAAACCATATGTTAGTCCCAAAATGACCTAGTTTGTGTCGAGTGGACGTTAAACCCCATTTCTCTCTCTCTCAAAGCCTTATCATTTCTTTCAAGTGTTATCCCATGATTTGATCTTTTACTTCTTCACACTCTGGTCAAAAAATTGGTCAACCTGTGATCAGTAGATTTGAGTGGATATGGGAAAGGACAATAAATGAATAGGTACAAGCCTAAGTTCATATATTTTAGCCTGTCTCTGCATATGGGCAGTCTTAGACTATCTTTGCTAATAATTCAGACTCAGAATTTTGTCGAACATCAACTCAATATAAATACTGTATTTAAAACATATCGTCTTGTCATTTGTTCTATTGCTCAGCCTTTTAGTAGTTAGGTATTGCACATACTTTTGGGTGGTCTAAAATGAGATATTTCAAGAAACACATTTTCTTGCACAAGATTTTAGGGTAGTCTAATAAGCAACTGTGAGGAACACATTTTCTTGCGCATGATTTTTGGTTGGTCAATTAAGCAACTGTGAAGAACACATTTTATTGCGCAAGATTTTAGGGTGGTCTTTCTTAAAAATGATGGTGCATATTTATTTACGCAAGATTTTAATGGGTGGGTGGTCTACCCATGTCCAGTGCATATTTTTCGACTTGACGTATGACGTTTTTTTTACTACTGCCCCCCCCCCCCCCCCGAGTGATATAATGTCATTTCCAACATGATCAAATGTCAGACATAATCACAAGATCAATATCACTGTGCAATTTGAAAGCATTGCGAAATTTGTTCCTTTTTTAGCCCCCCCCCCCCCCCCCCCCCCCCGAAATCATTACATTTTAAATATGCTGACAGTTGTCTAATTCTATCCATGAAGGGCTGTAAATAGAAAGTAGGTTGGTTGGGGGACAGAAATCAGAATGGGAGGAAGGGTGAATATTGCTACACTTGTTAGACGTGAGAAAAGCGAATTGGGGGCAGGGGAGCAGGTGTAAGCCCTCTCTGTGGGTCCAGGAAAGATACCTTGTGGGTTATCATTTTACGATTTCTTTTAACAATTTCACTACAAGGTGCTTAGCAAAATTTCCTAACAAAATTTAATACTGTCACTAAACTGTCCCTTATTATTAGATTTCGGATGCTCACATATATGTATCATACATTATATTGTAAACATGTAGGTGTAAAAAAGTAGTTAATGTTAAGATTAAATCCTGATATTATACAAAAACTGATCAGAATCAATACACACTAGAATTACATTTACATACGTTTTTTCTTCTTTTAATGAGCCATCTGTCACAGACAATGTCAGTAAGCCAATTCAGAAGAGATTTCTGGGGCTGGTGTGCCCGCGATTTCACAGACTGTATCTGTAAATTTGTTGGACAGAGATATCACTAGATTGATTGACAGGCATGGAAAAGAGTTTAATAAGCCAGCGTCCCAGACAATATACAGTATTTTGGTGAATAATAGTGGTTAATTCCTGTTTCTCTACCGCTATCAGAACCTCTCAGGTATTAGTTTTCAGAAATGCAACCTTTCACTGTCCATAAATCCCCATATTGGAAGTTATGCCCCAGTGCCAGCTGGATAGCCATGTCTATACATGTGAGAGTCACAACTACCAAGTCACTCACATGACTGAACAATAGGAAGGATTCCCACACAGTCTTATTTAACCCTGTTAAGCAAATGTCACAACCGCTTCTAAACGGTTCAATATTTGGAGATGAAACTTTCAGACAAGCTATTCAGCTATTTCTTTACATTGTGGTGTTTAATTTCTAGGACTACATAGTACATACATTTTTATCTACACATGCCCTGTGAAAACTGCAACTAGTCCTTTAAAGGCTCAATACCACTCTTGTTGTAACTGAATAATATGTCCCAATCTTTATTCTGGTCAACAAATTGTACTATTTTAGAATATTTCAATTAATTGATGATACAAATTTCATCTTAACACACCTTATTTAAAAGTTTTGAAAAATTCAACATAATGGTTTGAAACGTCTAACGTAAACCTTTTCAAATGAAACTTCGATTTAAAAATATTTTCGAACCCTCTGGACAAGTAAAATAGGATGTAATGGATAATTTACACAATATGTAGGACACTTAAACATCTAGTACTTAGATAAAGATATTATTTATTTTCTGGAGCTTTCAAGCCAGCAAGAGTGTTATTGTCCCTTTAAAATGTCTGATATAACTACAAATATTATTTTCTGGTTTGTATTTTTTTGTTCCACTCGTAATATTCTGTTTAATAAATGTATCATTCATATACATCTACAGATATGCATATGATTACTATTCACCTACAGTTTCCTGCTACGCAAATAGTCACAACAGATTTTTTTAAGTTTTTAAAAAAATTTCAATGTGGCTGGATATAAATCATTTAGACTGATAGGCTGCCAGGCATAGAAACATACGCTCACAGCAGGTAAATCGCCCAAGGGGTTGCCAAGTGTTGTCGTATATTTATTTATTCTTTGTAGGTAATGGGGGGAATTAACAAGACAATTTGTAATTGCCGTTGTTTGAGGGTTAAAAAGATTCTACAAACTGAAACACGGACCTTAACTCTGGAAGTAATTTACATAAATTGTTAAAAGTCGACAAGACTTTTTCATTGAGCTACATTTGTAATTCATATAATACATTTAAATTTTCATACAGATTGGATGATAGCTTTTGTCGTTCGAGTGTTCACAAGGTTCAACAAAGTAAAACAAGTGCCATAACTCTCGAAATAATGGACAGAAATAGCTGAAATTTAATAGGATTCTTCGTTCAACTAATTTAAATGATGCTTATAAATTTCATACAGATCAGATAATAACTTTTGTCATTCAAGTGTTCATAAGGTTCAACAAAGTGAAACAAGGGTCATTACACTAGAAGTAATGCTGAAATTCAATAAGATTCTTCACTAAATGATGCATATAGAATTCATACAGATCGGATGATAACCAAAGTGAAACAGGGGCCATAACTCAAGAATAAATTAACCGAAATTATTGAAATTAAATAGGCTTCTTCATCTCACTAATGTGGGCGTATAAAAACGGATTTACAGTATCTATATCTGCATACATTTAATACATGGATGGATTACTTAAATGATAGTCTTTATGAAAATGATACAATAGCTACAAGGTATTACATGTAGGTGGCTAAGTGGTCTAAATCCTGGACTTTAGAGTGGCTCTGATCCAGAGTTTGTACAAGAGGAGTTTGGTACATGTATTTGCAGGAAATATTTTATAAATTCTGTTCAGGACTTATTGGTTTATAAAACATATTCTTGCATACCTATTTTTAAATGGGTTCAATATCATCACTGATTGAACAATTGCTTTAGCATAATTAAATTATGTTTCTTCCTTTCAATATACATATATTTGGCAAAGATTGATAGGGAAACTGTGCATAAATATGGAGTGTCTCATACTAGAAGTGGGTGCCATGAATGATGCAGAGTATGTCTTTTCTTTCAAGGAAACTAAATACTATTGAAATATCTGTCAATTTGAGGCATTTCCTTACAAAGGCCCACAAAATATATGGACTTCCAATTTGATTTTCCTTTAAGATCAATTGTACTATATTTTATTAAGTTCAATAGCTCCATGTACACAAAATGAACACAGACTTTGTCTACTTGGATAATGAATATGCGTATTTACATATCAAATAATCATATGCAAATTTACATACACTAATTAGCATAAAAGGTAAATCATAAAATCTAAACATATTCATTTAGTTGACATTTCACTTTTAAATGAATATTTAATACATACATGAATCCATGTCTGTTATGTTAGTTATGTATCTACTAGTCTAGTATGTGTGTATGTGCCTGCCGTGCTACTCCTTTATCAGTAGTGACAGGCTTTTTCGTTTTACTAATTTAAAAGAATGGTTACCAGGCAAAGAAAAACATACACCCACAGCAGCCAGGTTGGTGATTGGGGGCAATTACAAGACAATTTCATACAGATCAGATAATAATTTTCGTTGTTTGAGGATTAACAAGGGATTTAACTCGGAAAGTAATTAACAGAAATGGTTGAAATTCGTCAGGCTTTTACATTTTACTAATTTAAATAATGAATATAAATTTCATACAGATCGGATGATACCTTATGTCATTCGAACCTTCACAAGGTTCAACAATGTACAAGGGCCGTAACTCTAGAATATTTTAATGGTAATTGGTGAAATTAAACAGGCTTCTTCATGTCACTAATTAACAACATATATCAATTTCAAAATAATCAGATGATAAATGTAATATACATGGTCCATTCTGTGTACAATACACATTCTATTATGTGCACTATACACATTTCATTTTGTGTGAAATACACAATTATATTTTGTGTACTATACACATTCCGTTTTGTGTTATAGACACATGGCCTATTCTGTGTGAAATACACATTTATTGCATTCTATTATCCTATTGTGATATACTATTGTGTTGTGCTATACATATTTCATTTTGGGGGGGTTGGATGGCTGAATGGTTAGCGTGCGCGCGCTGTATCATAAAGTCTGCCATTGAGTCGACTGGCGTGATTTTGAATCCCCAGTTGTATGTGACAAGGAGTAGGGTCGCATGTCCAACCTCGTGGGTTTTCTCCGGGTCTTCCGGTTTCCTCCCACTGCTAAAGACCCCTACGCGCAAGCGAATTATGTAAATAAAATTAAACCGTATGTTAGTCCCGAAATGACCTAGTTTGTGTCGAGTGGACGTTAAACCCCATTTCTCTCTCTCTCTCATATTTCATTTTGAGTCCTATACACAATTATATATTCTATACTCTTCAAAAAAGTAGGGGATACTGAAATGCAAATACCTATGCAGGTTGTGATATGATAAATAGTCATGGACACTTGACATGCTTTGAGAGTATGTTCACAGATGAAGAACTTATCGCCCCAACAGAAGCACTGAAGGGTTGATGAAAACTGATGCGTGCTGGTTTATCCTATCAATGTTTGCTTTCCTATCTGTTCTTGCATAAGATTTACTGTCAAGCGTATTTTTGCTTTAGTGTGTTACGTTTAATTTGCAATGAGATGTCTTTAACATGATGAATGTCTACGTGCTATTGGCATGCTTCAAATGGGTTCTACACAGCGAGCACTAGCCAACATGCTTAATGTGTCAAACACACAATGTTGATGATAGACCTCGTTCAGGTCGTCCTAGAGCCACTCACAAGCCCAGAATCGATACATTCGTACACGGCTCCTGCGAAATCGAGGACAAACGGCCAATCAGCTTTCTGTAAACTTGTACCAAGTTACAGGAATTCGAGTTACATCCCAAACAATTAGAAATCGGCTACGTGTAGCCCATTTGCATGGGCGACGACCGCGTGTTGTGCCTCCATTAACTCGCCAGCACATGGCAAACAGGCGTCAATGGTGTATGCAGCGTAGAAATTGGGGGTAATCGTCGATGGGCGCGTGTAATGTTCTCAGATGAGTCCAGATTTACTCTGGATTTCACCGATAGGCGTGCTTGCATTTGGAAGCGTGTAAATTAGTGTCATGCTAACGTTAACGTCAGACAGCATGACAGATTCGGGCGTGGGTCTACTGTGGTGTGGGGAGGAATCACCATGACTGGCAGAACGGACTTGCATATTGTTGAAGGAAGGGTCACTGGCACCGATAGTTCTGCCCTTTGCTCAACGTGCAGGTCGAAGTTACATCTTTCAAGATGATAATGCCCGTGCCCACCACGCTTGTGTCGTGAATGACTACCTCCAGCTTCACCATATTGTCCATATGGAGCATGTCTGGGACATGATTGGGAGACGTGTTCGTTGACGTCAACGTCAACTGACAACACTGCAAGATACGTCAACTGACAACACCGCAAGAATTGGCCGTGGCACTGTGAGGGGTGGGTCAGATTGCCCCACGATGAATTGTTGAATTTCTGAGGATTGGTGGAGCAATTACTCATTATTAAGACAAAAATCAAAAACGTCCATTTTTACTTTTGACAGTGTATCTCTTTGCGAGTGAAATGGGGCCGTCAGATAAGACGCCCATATGAACTGTTTATGTTCATGTCATCATGTGTAGGCAATTTGGCCTGTTATTAACATACACTGGTGATCTGTAATAAAAGCAGCAGTGCATTTCCGCAGTTTTGTATTGTTTCTGAATATCCCCTACTTTTTTGGAAGAGTATATTTTGTGTGCTCCACTTCCACTTTGTGTGATATACATGTTCCTTTTTGTGTGATATACAGATTATATTTTATGTTAAATTATAAACTAACCTCATCACTCTCCTGTAGATCAACATTACCATTCTTATCATCATCTATCAGAGTATGTAATGCCACGATTGCCTCATAACCAACTTTATCTTTCTGACATTGATCAAACTGATCATCATGTTCTTCACAATCTGAAAATACAAATTAACAGGAATGGACAATTAATTTTCAATCATCATTACCTGTAATCGCCAAAAAGTTCGTAATTATTTAAATTATGGACTGAATCGTGACAGGAAATGTTGTCAATCCTGTACACAGAAATTTATGAAATCTTCCAACACTAATTTCATGCCTTTACAATATCTTCAAACCAGAAATACACTTAATTGCCTACATCTAATATTTTGAACTTACATGTAAGTGCAGGTACCCTTTGTGAAACAGGGCTCCAGTCTATGAAAACCACTTAACTTAAACACATATTTATACATAGTCATAAACGATGTTTGAACCTGATTTAATGTGGCTAGCTCAAAATATTTTCAACATGTTCAAATTCATCTCTACGTTGACCTTGGATGCCAAGACCCTAACCATAATTTGAACGTACTTGACCCTACTGTAGTGTTTATCGTAGTAACATGGCACTGTGCTTAACACTATTTCAACCTAGTTGACAGTAATGGCACTATGCTGAACTACCATCAAATGAACTATAGTCAACTAAGCATGTGACTGTAAGATGTGGTCGCAGCTTTACTTTGGATTATCAAAATATTTGACAATTAGGAACTCTATTCATGTAGATTGATTGACAGTTCTCCAGTCAGTCAATTTCACTGCCAGTCAGTCAAGACTAGTAAATATGACTGAAACTAGAGCCCTAATACAACAGGTATTACATGTTGAAACACATAAATATCAAACTGTCTGATTGAAATAGAAAAATTAATAAGCTGCGTATCAAACATTGCATCACACATTCCGAAAACTTTTTTTTTTTGCACAAATAGCTAGACATGCCATTGTTTCCAGCTGCTCAAGTTACATGTAATTATTGAAATATTTTTATTTCTATTTTAATCCCACAAGAAATGTTCATACATCTGATAAATCAATAACATCACCATGGTATTTATCTGTTTTAATACAGAATGGATTATTAAATCGAAGTATTTCCTGATATAAAGCCATTGATTGTCATTTGTCCATGTCTTCATCCACTCTAATATAAAACTAAGATAACTCCTTTAATATTAAATTAATGAGGAAAATCAAACCAAAATATCAATGGTAGATAATCTGCCAGCGTTGGTTCAATCTGTTTAAAATGAAAACATTTTACCCAACTCTTAAACACACATTATTCAAGAGCTAAATCAGCCTATTGCAGTCTTTCTGTAGGCATTAAATGTTATATAAATTATTAATTAGACATTTATTAACATGCAAGGCTCTACAATGCGACTGAAACACTCGCATTTGCGAATGAATTTTGACAATGGCGACCAGATATTTATAAATGCTAGGTTTCTGGCGAGTGAACATATATCTTGAAGTCCCCAATTAACGCTATAGCTATCCGAACTTTTCTCCGTAAAGATAACGTAATCGGCAATGATCCCAGTCAAATGTCACTCTTGTTACTTTCCTGGTTTGAAATTGGGTCAATCTCATTGTCCTCTGCGAGGAAATTCTCATTGCGCATGCGCTGTATTTATCGGAAGTTTGCGAGACAGCTGACAGCATGGCTAGCAGACGAATCAAACCTATATCGTCTTACTTTACTAGTAAAGTAACTTCGTCTCGCAGTGAGTCTCAGTTGGGGAAAAATGATGATAGTCATGCTACTGACGCTACACCACCCAAACAAGCAAAATTACAAGCTTCGCCAACCGCCGTCTTAGTCTCGCAGTGAGTCCCAGTCGGAAAAAAATGTTTAAAACATCTTTTTTTATTATTATTATAGGACGACGAGTTATGTATGTTCACAATATAATTTAGCTATATCATACGACAAATTATTCTAATCTTTAGACTTGGCAACTGAAAATTTTGTTTGGCTAGTGGTTTTGAAAATTTACTTTGGTTTGCACAAGTAAGTTCAAAATGCTGTGTAGAGCCTTGTGACAAGACCATAATCAACCTCGATGTCTTCAGATGACTTTGATTTTAAGTAGATTAGAACGGTTCGGCCATTTAATGATTTAATTTAAAAATGTAGAAGAGATGCTTAGCCTCGAACAACCAGTACAGTGATTACATACATTTGTACAATCAATGCACACATCTTGTCAAACCTTCAAAGGCTAATACATGTATCTTCGATCTGAATATAGTAATTTGAATGAAATTTTCAATACATTCATTTTTCATTATCTATTTATGAACTATTAGAGCAAGAGCTGCCAGCCCTTTATCTAATTTTTGCATAATGTATCTGTAAGTGGTGCTGGCTTGTTCATCATCTGCATAGGATATCAAATAATGCGAAATTCACCATAGATGTATCTTTGTAAATACTGAACGGAATTCAACCATTTTTAAACTGATATTTCTTTTAGAGATATAAATTAGGAGTACTGTAGTCTGCAAGGGATGGAAAAATCACTTAAATGGGAATCAACAGCTTTAAATTCAGTTTTTTCAAAAAGGTGCATGAAAGTGTTTATCTTATCTTTAAAAACATTACCTCTCTAGCACAGATAATAAATAAATTTTACTCAACAAGAAATCTTCATTCTCATTATTACCGGTAATGAAAAGAATGTGTTTCACTCAAGTAGATATAATCATTTTTCTACCCCATTAACTCACTTGTAATATATTTTATTGTATCTCTGATCTTAGTAAGAGTTTTTGTGTACCTGTAGGGTTACCTAGTTACTTATAATACATGTATATAAACATCAAATACAATATATACATGATACCTACATGTATATTAAGCATATATATACATGAAGTACATTTAGATATACAAGTGTTATTTATATCTCTTGAAAGGATGTAACCCTCCTTGATTTGTGTTAAAAATACAAGTGTTGACTAAATTGAATTTGATGTAGATTTATGTACATGTACCTAATTATATTTGAAATTTTAGGTCAGCTTATGCACATTAAGATATATACGCTTAACACATTTCGTGATTAAACTAAAAACAAAACTAAAATCATATACGAATAATCAAAATTTAATCGTTTGGATCACTAATGGAAGAAATACATCAAATCAACCCCATTTAATAGCTAAATTAAAAGTGGAATTCAATTGTATTATTTGGCCTGTTCTATCTTTAATCAAAATAACACATAAGATCAACTCAATTCAACATGCTATTTCTACTCTATGTACATTTAATAAATTGTGTGTGTGTGTCTGTTATTGAGTGAGGTGGCATCATTTCAATCCCAAGCTTGTATGTGTGACACAATACTAAAGACACCCTCCTCTGCACTATCAAATCATTGAAATAAAATTTTACCATGTTAGTCCCAAAATAACCTAGTTTGTGTTGAGTGGATGTTCACCCCAATCTCTCTTGACAGAGAGAAAGAGGATGTTCTAAACATCAAGTCAATAAGATGTATTTCCTGATGTATAATTTCATCACTGAACACTTTATTATATGTATAATAACCACTTGACTTTATAATACATTGTATACTGGTACATGTATATAAACTACTTAAGTATAAAGATCTAAAAATTCACATTTAGTTGACATTCATTGACTCACAACGATTCAATAAGGAGCTGATTCAGAAGCCAGAAAGTCACGAGTTCAGCATGGTTTCCCTATGTCAGTGGTGAAAGACACTAAGAGTAAGACAGAGAGTCTGGCAAGGAACAGTGTCCAGTAAATTGGAAAGGCCAAAAAACAGGGGTCACATGTACACATTATATAATCACCCTTAGCAGTTGGAATTTGACAAAAAATATGTGGAAATGTCACTGTCCAAACAATATTTACTCCATAGCACAATGTAGCCTTGTTGATGCAGAAAAGTAAATTTAGGATGTTAAACCCCATTTCATTAATTGTAGTCTTGTAAAGATTTTGAATTTTAAAAATTTCTATATGAGATGCTAACATATGTTGAAGAAAGAATCAAATACACATATATACAAATTATATACATGTACCCGATATGTAAATTATCCCAAAAAATAGACTGATGTCAAATTTGACCTCCAGAAAGACTTGCACTATTTCTTATGCACAAATCATTGTCTACATGTAAGTCGAAAGAATGTAAAACAATTTATATAGAATGCAAGAGCTGATGTCTGATTCCGCAGGGGTTTGAGATGAACAGTACCTGCTGCGTTAAAAATTAAAGTACATGCATCTCCATGTAGGAAACAGGAATATATTTAGAAGGGTAAATTACGCTCTTCATTGTTTCCCATTTCCTTACCCACATAAAATGAGAAGGGCTAATGGGTCATTCTGTTCTCTCCTCCCGCCCTTACTCAAAATGAGAAGGGCAAATGGCTCATTCTCTTCTTTACCCTCCCTTACTCACATAAAATGAGAAGGGCAAATGGCTCGCTCTTTTACCCTCATTCCTTTACCCACATAAAATGAGTAGGGCAAATGGCTAACTGTTCTCTACCCTCCCTTACTCACATTAAATGAGAAGGGTACATGGCTCACTTTATTATCCCAACTCTTTACCCACATAAGACGAGAAGGGCAAATGGGTTGCTCTGTCCTCTGAACTTCCTTCTTAAAACGTGGATTCACACACTTGATAAAAAGCTTGTTCAGCTTCAAGTGGTGATCAATTATTTATAAGATAGAGAGTGATAAGAAAGTTAGATTATTGGTAAGATACAGGTAAAACAAAGGTTATGAACCGATGATAAGACAGGTTAATATACTACCTGTAGTTTATCACATATCAACACTAGGGAAAGATGACAAATCAAAATGTTTGATGACTAAAATCTTAACCGAATGAGTCTTTTAGCAGGCCAAGTTTAAAAATAAATCATATTACTGACGGTGTGGTGGTGTCAATCAGGGATATTTTTGAGTTTTCGGCCCTAACCCCCAATGAAAGATAGGTTGCAAGGCAATGAAACATATGCCCACAGCAGCTAAATAATGCATATAAATTTCACAAAGATCAGATGATAACTTTTGCTGTTAGTGTTCACAAAGTGAAACATGGGCCAT